CCGCCGCGCCCCGCGGGGCTCATAACCTGACAAAGGACGAACGCGAGTATAGCTGATGGAGTCTATAAGAGCGCGAACTCACCGGGCTGTTAGTGTTGAAGGTTGAGTGAGTAGCTTGGTAGCTGGTAGGCTGACGATGGTAGTCGTTCGGTGGAGAGAGAAGACTTAGATGATATTCATGGTAGCGACTGTATATATATGACAGGAGCGTGTGAAGTCACTACCGTATTCGTAACTACTATGCAGTCCAAGTCCCACGGTAATGTAGGACGGCTACGTAAGCAATGAACGTGGCCCTATGCGATGAACGCGGAGCCACACGAACGCGTAAGCGCTTAAGGTACCGCTAGGATACTAAGCGCCTGAATAGACGTATGAAGGCGGTGTTTACTTGTAGACCTCGTAGAGGAACATCGCCGTACAGGAGGCTTCTGGATGAACCAATAAAGCCGTAAAGGGTCGAATACTAGACGTAAATCTGACAGATATAGGCTGTCCTAGTGAGTTGTAATAAGTACACTGGGTGTTTAAATGTTTACCTTTTACCTGTAAGTTCGTCAAAGCAAGAACTTGAAGCGTTGAGACTGCTCGAGACCAACTCGAGACAAGAGTTTGAGCGGCCTTGCGGCCTTCGGCAAATACATGCTGCCGGCCCGGTTGATTTGCCGAAGACTTTCCGTCGTCGTGCAAGTCTTGTCTTATCTTCCATCTTCCTCACCATGCGTCGTCCCTTGAGTTCGTCCTCCTCTAACTACGATCAGCCTCAAGACTAGGAAACATCAATATATACGGAAACGTTGATATTTGTGAAGGGAAGAGCTTTCAGTATGCGGACGATCTCGCTAGACTCGAGCTCACTGTCGGTTTACAGAAATTAGGTCGCTTCCCTCCCGAAGGCAACGATAGCAAGCAACACCTCAGGAACTATCACGCTAATCGAGATCGTCATTCGGCAGGAGCTGTCAAAGTAAGTAAGTGTCTGTACACGACATGCATTTGATCGATGGGACTAAAGACAAAACAAAGGAGTGTGGTACTCAACTAAGAGCGAATAGTCCGAGTAAAACCAAAGGAGTGGCGAAGTGGGTATCAGGTCTGGCGTTCCTCAGCATACGATTGTCCTCCTCATGCTTCCCCTGCCTCAACTAACGAGGTCGTCACTTGGGTCGTCACCCATATCTCCACCTCTCCTTCAGAGTTTTCGCCCATTGTCGGGCTGGTATGCGTTTCAAGTGTGTTGCTTTTGGAACATCAGGAATGGATACCAGAACGACAATGCTACTAGAAACTCACGATCCTACACCCCACATATACTAGCCGTCAACACGGCGAAGTCTTCCGAGAAACTCGATGAAGAAAAGGTCAACCTGACGAACCGACACGACGAGGCATATTAGAACACGGCTTCGGCGACCGAGCTGATGGGAGTAAAAGTACGCGCTTCCAAGACGTAGAGAGCCTTCGGCAGTCTGGGTACTGACTTGGCTCATCGCTACATCCCTAGATTAGGTTGTCGAGCACGCCGAACAGCAAGATATATCAGATTCGCAGAGGTACGGTGTCACAAAATCCATTTATCCGTCGACACTAAAGTAAAACGAAGGAGTGTGGTGCTCAACTAAGAGCAAATAGTCCAAGTGAAACTAAACGAGGGGCGCGGTGGGTATCAAGTTTGTTCGTTCTCCCATCATATAGCCGACTTCGGCTTCATGCTTCTCCTCCCTCAGTCACAGTGGTCGTCACTTGAGTCGTCACCCATATCTCCACCTCTCCTTCAGAGTTTTCGCCCATTGTCGGGCTGGTATGCGTTTCAAGTGTGTTGCTTTTGGAACATCAGGAATGGATACCAGAGCGACAATGTTAAGGACTCACGCTCCAATACTCCACATATACTGGCCGCCAACGCGGCGAAGCCTTCCGAGAAACTCGATGAAGAAAAGGTCGAACTGTAGCGTCACAATGAGGCATGTCAGAACATACCTTCGGCGACCGAGCTGATGGGAGTGAATGTACATACCTCTAAGACCTCAAAGGTCTTCGTGCGGGGGTAGGGTGAAGACATGGAGGGCTGATTCGGCGATGTTGGTGTGGGGAGTAAACAAGTGGTGGGGGATACGTCCGACGACGCGGCCCCGTTTTAATGCGCGCTCGGGAGGCTTAGGGCCGCCCTTCCTCTTTGCGCTCAAGACTTGTTGGTGGGTATTTATGCCCCATTTTCTTGACGTTTCTTGACATGTCTTCGACTCGGCTAACAACTCGTGTCAAGTTCGAGGCCCTAGTCAATTGTAACATGAGTCACGAGGACATGTAATCTTGTAGGCGCGTATGTATGAATCATCCCTTTTTCGGCTTGATCGGGGTAGGGTTTGCCAGGAGGACGCGGTTTGATTTGGAAAGCCGCGAGTTGCAGATTGGTGTCCGCTGAGTCAAAGTCCCACGGTCCTAAATGAGTCTGGTAAAAGAAAACGGTACAATATAGGGCCGTTCACTCCCCAAGACGGGTCATTTATCCCGCTGTTTCTTAATGGTGGCAAATTACCGGGCACACCACGGAAGGCCTGAGGCCTGAGGCCTGAATATTTGAATACTTGAGTACTCGAGTGGCAGTCAACCCACAATAGACGGCAGCATTTGGCGATGGAATTGACATTGATATTGTTGATTAAGGCAGAGAATATTAATGGCTACTTCGAAAGCTTGCGCTGGAATGACAATCTCACAAACGGGGCTAACTTGAATCTAATGACTGATTCCATGGCTCCACCTCAAGTCCAAGTTTTGCGTAGTTGAAGACCAAATATTCCACAGTGTCACGCTGGTCAGGTAAACCACCTTAAGTTCAAGGTCACGCGTTCGCCAGACCTTTGAACCACTGTCTTGTTTGAACTTGGTTTTCGTCACACGTCACGTAAATTTCTGTTGAACTTAAGGTAGTGTAGCTACAGTACTCACCATAATCACCAAGCCCGAGTTGTTATAGTAAGATAACGGACTTCGAATTATCCATACTCCTCGCGATCATCATCAAGCATCCAGCTGCCTGGGAATTGATTCTATTTTTGGCGAGAGGGCCTCGGACGCCTATGAAGCGGTTGGATGCCCCAAGCTCGAGGTCAACAATGTTTGGGATAACTTTTAGCAGATGGCTTATACACTTACCACTTGAATTCCGAAGACATAGCAATTACTTACTAAGCATAAAAGGCCAGTAGATTTCCCTCGCTGAGGGTTTTTGGTGCACCCGTGCCACTCTTTGCCTATTTCTCTTGTGATGACTACAAATTGTATCAAACATATCATAAATAACATGAGATGAATCTACTCTAAGCTGTGACAGAGGAGGCTAAGAGCGGATCGTATGTAGCTTTGACATTGAAGTGTGACTAAGCAACTAACCCCTGAGTTGGCTTGGCAGACACCAATCCGCGACTCGCGACTTTCCAAATCAAACCGCGTCCTCCTGGCAAACCCTATCGGGGATAAACAGGAAAAGAAGTACAGCGAGCACCACAATGGCGGCCGAGGCCACAGCCTGTCTGGGTTCCCCTCTTACTCTGCAATACTCGTGCCGATTGTCTTGAAACCATGGCGCTGGCGTAGAATTGAGCGGTGGAAAGGCAAGGGTTACCTGGAATGGGTCTGTATGTTGATTTGTACACGTCCAGGTTGGATCCGCTCGCAACCTTCGAGGCTTTATCCTGCTTTATCCCGTCTGCACCTCATGATTCTCCGAACCAGATACACGAGGCCGTACCATGTTCCCATCCTCAAGCGGTGCGTCAAAGCAGTCGTGTAACAAAGATTCGTAACAAGTAATACACATGTATCACACGACGAGCCAGGTCATATGTCTTTTTGACGGTTGTGTAGTACGTCCCAGCGACGTTTACCAAAGGTGATTCAACATTTGTCGGCGACCAGTTGGCTTATAACTTCGAGTTTGTTGTCAGTGTTGGAGTTGGTAGACCGAATTTGCATTCAGAATCCAGGTAGCGACAGCGTCTCAATGAAGATCAAGGTGAAGACTGCACCGGAACCGTCAAAGCGAGTCAGCAAGGAACAGATCAGATACCATGTGTGAAGCAACTGACCACAACTGACCACAACCCAAACCAGGCTCGATACCGCAACTTTGTAGCCCGTGTGTGCGTCGCCAGAGCCAAGTGCCTAGGCGGTGACCGATGGCTTGGTACGAAGGTTTTCTGTAAGTGAGCAAATGATCACATGCTAGGAGTAGAGTATCTTTATACGCTGTAGGCCTGAGTCCGTGTGTTATCTTCTTCTCATTGCAACGCGCAGCTGACAAATATAGACTACTGATCGAATGCTTTTGTCCCATGCCGCAGTATACCAGAACTCGGCGGTGTTTGTTACATTCTGTGATGATGTGAAACGCTTGGTCAATGTCTTGCTGAAATTGTGCCATCCCAGTTGCAGCAGCTGACTCCATTACAATCACCGGATTCGTCAGTCATGTCGCTCTCGCCGTGGTTATCAAAGCTATTAACGATACGCGGATGGAACATGCTCTTCGCTCAAGCAAGCGTCAAGTCGCGCCATCGCTAGATAACGTTGCGAATATATACTCCCGTGCGCCGATACGAGCGATGAATACCGTGGCGGTCATCCCGACCGAATCATGGAGTTTGAGGAGCTGCAACGCACCAAGGCTGGCTGGCATCGCAGAAAGCTCCGGGACCGACGCGAAAAAGACCTAGACGATATCGCCACTCAACCTTCGGTATTCGACGACCCTGTGGCGCTAGAAGTATACCGCCCGCCCCCGGAGTACGAGAACGCCCATAGGTTCGATCCAAAGGCGACATGGACATGGAGGGAGGAAAAGGTACGTCATGCACACCACTAGACCTCTATCGCATTTCACGGCAACTTCTGCAGAGTCTTGTTCGCAAAATCGATATACGCATTATGCTTTGGTCCTGCCTTATGGTCTTCTGCCTTTCTCTGGACCGCGGTAACATCTCACAAGCCAACACGGATAACTTCTTACCCGACCTTGGTTTGACAACCGACGACTATAACCTTGGTAATTCCGTGTTTCGGTTTGCGTTTGTCGCGGCGGAGCTGCCTTCGCAAATCGTTTCCAAGAGGATCGGTCCTGACGTTTGGATACCGATACAGGTGAGTTGAGCCGCAAAGCTCAGTCATGGAAACTCTGAGTCAGCATTCTAGATCACCCTTTGGAGTGCCGTATCGCTATCGCAGTTTTGGCTCACGGGGAGGGCGACGTTTCTTCTTACGAGGTGAGCGAGAACGGATTCCGAGTCAACTTGAGTTCAGTGCTGAGTTTGAGCAGGGTCTTGATTGGCGTTTTGGAAGGCGGCTTTATCCCCGATACTGTGCTGTATCTGTCTTACTTTTATACGAAAACAGAGCGTGAGAACTAAAGCTCTGGACGTCGTCGTGCTTCTGACGAAGACCATTCCTAGTGCCCATCCGGATCGGCTGGTTTTTTGTCTCTTCGTCGTATCTGTCCTCTCTCATAGGTGCCTTCCTCGCAACCGGGTTTCTTGCTATTCAGGATGCCACTGCCACAGAGGGATGGAGATATCTCTTCCTTCTGGAGGGAATCCTCACCGCTGTCGTCGGCATTGCATCCTTCTTCATGTTGCCACCTGGCCCTACACAAACGAAAGCCTGGTTCCGGCCAAAAGGATGGTTCACCGAAAGGCAAGTAGGCAGTTTAATAACGACCACGCTAGCTTATCAGCCGGTTTAGGGAAGAAGTGATCATGGTGAACAGGTGATAGACTCAAGCTCAAGTCCATGGCGCCGAGTACACCATGCTAACATTAATCATATACAGGATCTTACGGGACGACCCGTATAAATCCACCATGCACAACCGACAGGGTTTGAGTCTCCCCATGATTTGGAAAGCGATATGTGATTGGAGGTTATGGCCACTGTATTATATTGGCTTCGTTTACGGCCGTACGTTCAGAATACTAGTGCAATTTTCGGCAATTGACGTTTAAACCAGTCCCTGTGGGCCCCCCTCAGCAATATCTCACCTTGACACTTCGGAACCTTGGCTTCAGCACAACCCAATCTAATCTACTCACTATACCCTCGCTCATTATAGGGATAATTGGACTAGTCGCCACTACCTATCTCGCGGAGCTGACTAACTCACGGACCCTCGCTTGTCTGACCTTGCAAATATGGGCATTGCCGCTCTTGATTGCTCTCTATACGTTCACTACTGATACATCGCCATGGGTCTACTACATTGTGGTGACGTTGATCACTGGATTTCCGTATGTGCACCCGATTCAAGTCGCATGGGCATCAAGAAACTCGGGGAGCGTGCAAGGGAGGACCGTATCTGCGAGTCTGTACAACATTTGCGTCAACCTTGGAACAGTTGCATACGTGAGTAACATATCGTCGCATCTCAATCTCATGATGAATTTACTGGACATAACTACAGTCGAATATCTACCAAGCAAGCGACGCCGTAAGCCTTAACTATATCGTTCGTGGCTTGATACTTATTGACGTGAACCTCGTATTCGTTTGCGAATAGCCCTTGTGTAAGTGATCCAAATGAAACGCAGTCCACCTGTACTGAACTAGCGAGAAGACAAACACGGAAATCTTGCGTTGATATTTATCACGGTCCATAACTTTGTGGCATATGGCCTTACTTGGTTATTTTACCGAGAGACCAACCGTCGCAGGCAGTATAAATGGGACAATATGTCAGAGAAGGTGCGACTTACTCCCACCCGTCCTAAATGACATTTAACGTCTCGTTACAGGAGCAACAATCATATATAGAGGCAACAGCGGATAAAGGCAATCAACGACTAGACTTCAGGTTCGCGTACTAGGTAGCATCGAGCCCTGAATGTACGTCAAGTGCAGATTTCCATGATCTAACTGAAGGAGTACCCCAAGCCTAAATATACTTGCGTCTCATTGTGCACCCACCAGAGATATGTTTGTTTTCTTTTCATGCGTGCGATGATACGAGTATGAATACCTGCACATGTGACAACCGTATTCGAGGTTCAGCTCGGAATTACCGGATACCAATCACCCTCCTGCCGAGTTCGTAATACACCTAGGTATTTTGAGACGTCTTTTGGCTTCTGATCGCCTCGCCAAAACTTGATGATCTCCGACCACTCGTCAGCATCCTCCTGCGACCCCATCTTCTTCGCTGAGACGAACCGGGGCATACCCTCACCCTTCATTCGTTGCTCGTACACATCCGAGAAGGTCCGCTTGAAGTGTTTGTATGCCTTGCTTGTATCGCTGCTAGTAGGATCGCTGGCTCCGGTGCGCTCGAAGTGGAAGAGCGGCGTTGGATAGTGCGCGTCCGTTGTTGGATATGATATCAGCGGGCCGTTGATAGACACCACGGATCCCAGAAAGCCGCCCGTAGTTGCGGCATCCGAGCTAGTAAGGGCAGACTTCGCTCGCTTTCCAGTCTCTACCGCGATCTGGGACGCGAGGCTCCCGCCCTCGCCGACGCCTAGGAGGTGCATCGTATCCAGCTCACGATTGGATGCGAGAGTGATGGTATCAATGATGCGTTGGAGAAGAGGGAGGAGCTCCGAGAGGGATGGGGGTTCGGGTGATTGCACCATCTCAAGATACAACTTGACCTCGGTCACGAACTCTGGGCGGTCGGGCGGAAGGAACCACCAATGGCCAAGACCAGATATCCTGAGTTGAGAATCCGGTGGGGGAAAGGTGATACCAAAGTTAGAGTATTTTTTTAATAAAGCATAGGGTAACGCACTCTCTGGGAGCCTGGATGGCGAGTGTAGCCGTCTGCGGCAAAACCTGACGAAGCCATTGAGCTCGGTTTGATTCACCCTCAAAGGTATCATCTATCGATCCACCTGATAATGATACAGCGATCAGTTTTCTTTATTCAACCGAGTTGGGAAGAGAGGGTCGTGCACCATACCGTTCTCATGAAAAAGTACAAGGAGGTTCGTGTCAATCCCGCGGTCGGCGGAACGATAGCTAAACTTGAACCTAAGAGACTCCTTGAGCTCGCCATTGAGACTTTTCAGAGCTGTCTCGACGTCGCTCTTGTAGTTGGGGACATCTTGAGATTCACGAACGTGGATTTCCGAGCCAGGTTGAGGGAGCATCGTGAAGGGATGAACTTAGGGGTTTCTCTTGCTCGCGGATGTCGTTTGGGTTTCTTTGCCACCAGTCGGGCCATCGGGCCGAAGTAAAGCCGCTCGTCGTCAACGTTAACGTCAACGCCCAAGCTTTTTGTAACACTCACCGAGGCGCTCAAACCCTACTTCAGATCCTCCACGTCTTCCCTATGGATGAACGGACTCAAACTCTATGGTGGATGGACACAGTAACAAAGCTGTAGGCGCACCTGATCTTCCAGTGGTCGAGACTGCAGCCGATCCGTTGATGCAGGTGCATGCACTCAGTTTAGCTCTTACTATCTCACCCACCAGTTGCTCTGCTAGCTTATCCTCGACCACTCTTGTCGTTCTCGTGCGATTAGGTAGACCATGGCCGCAGAAGACGACATGACTGATCCAATCCTCCAGAAAGACCTCAAGTTCTCCCATCCCGCTTCGCAGATCAAGGCTGTCAACGTCGATGCTCCACCTCAGCGCATATATGATGATATGAAGAAGTACGAAGATGCTGCCCGAGGTGAACCGTCTTTCCTGCCTGCGTCGACCGTTCTCTGACTGTTATCTCAGGATACAGCTTCTTTGGGTTTGAACGAACGGTGAAAGATAAGCACGGCACCGAGGTACCAGGAGGTGTCTTCGTCAAGCACAGACCCGTAGATGCTCAGGTGGATCAAGTGTACCGCATGTCAACGGACCCTGAACGCACAGACCTTGAGCGTCTCACTCACTTCGAGACGCGTGCTGGGCGCAATATTGCGCTGTTTCGTTCCATCATTGGCGAGGACTGGCGAGGGGTGTGGAGAGGAGGGGGTGCGATCTTGGAGATGGATTTTGATGGGAATGAGCAGTTTCAGCTTTGGTGTGTCTGCAATCGGTCCTGCTATAGCTGAGCCGCGCTGACTTGCGTCAACGCTACCAGGCGTTACTGGGAAGATGAGTTCTCTGAGACAACATTGCCCAAGATTGAAGGAGAGATCGAGAACTATCCCGGAAAGGGGCGTCTGGAGAGGATAACGCACGATGAGTTCAAGTACTTCTCGACGGTCATCTCCCGTTCAAACAAGTAATGTCGCATCTCTTTTGTCTTTTCATTGTCACTCACTGTATGCGCCAGATACATGCTCTTCACATGCAACAAAGAGAATAAGCGGGACATGCTCGTCTACATGACCAGGTTATCCGATTCAAATACCGGTGCTGAAGCCAACTCAAGACCATTTACCCTCGAGGCTAGGCAGATCGTCAAGTCAACGAGCGAAGGTACAGCGCGTTGGCACGCCTACGGCTTCTCCCTCGACGACAAGTACATCCTCCTCGCGCGCATGAATAGCAGCGCAGATAAGCCCCTTTATATCGTCGATATCTCCGGCGATGAACCTACTTTGCCCGAACTCATAACCCTTCCTGGCTCACAACCCGGCGCGAGCGCCGTAATTGGCCCCGCATTCTCGTTTGATCCTGAAAAACCTCACGTCGTGTACCTCATCTCGAACGCGTTCGGCGACTTCGACTCCGTGGTATCGTACGATATCGCGACGAAGAGCGTGACGCACATCACGACGTCTGAGAAGGGCTTAAGCGCGCTCCGCCCGATCCCGTGGGAGGCCGATATGATCCACACCACGCAGAAGGCGGTCTTGTTCACGGTCAACTTTGAGGGATGGAACAAGATGTACGCTCTCCCTCTCGTAGGGCCACACCAGGGCGAGGTCGTCGAGCTGAGGCTGGGCTGGGAGCAGGGATGGATCGCGTTTGGCCCCAACTCGCTGAACAATAAGCCAGGCGAGGTCGTCCTCCATCTGGCGTCTTACCGGTCCAAGCCTTTCCTGGTACGCATCGACATCGACGATGTGCTGGAGAATGGCGTGCGCGCTGACCCAGAGGACGGAGAGAACAAGTATGCGGAGCCCAGGATGAGGCCATACAGCCAGGCTGCACCGCCCGTGGACGAGACCGCGGTTCCGCCGAAGCTGCTCAAACTCAAGAGTTTCGACGGGCTGGAGATCCCATGCATGTATTATCGTCCCAAGGGTGTAACGTCTGCTGTCCCAGTCGTCATCTCGATTCATGGAGGTCCTGAATCTCAGTCCACGTCGCAATCTCGGACGTGAGTTTCCGCTTACTATCACAGCCCGCTCATACTGATCATGGCGCTAGGGCAACGCACGGATATCTGATCAACGACCTTAAATGCGCGGTCATATACCCCAATGTTCGCGGCAGCTCAGGTTATGGCAAGAAATACATGGCCGCTGATGATGTGGAGAAGCGAGAGGATTCTGTCAAGTGTGTCCTTTAGCTCGGTACCGCTGTATATCAGGCTCACTCCAGCTCAGGGACATTGGGGCGCTATTGGACCATATCCATCATAAGATGCAGAACGAGCTAGACTCGTCCAGAATTGCAGTCATGGGCGGTTCTTGTGAGTGCTCCATAATGAACTCCTCTCATCGTAACTTATCACCCGCGTATAGATGGTGGATACATGGTTTTCGTACGCACCCTTTGTTCGTTCATTATCCTGCCCTCACTCATGTACACATCATAGGCTACCCTGACACATTACTCCTCCTGCCTCACCTGCGGCATCGCCCACTTTGGAATAACACATTGGCCCTCTTTTTTGCAAAACACCGCCCCTGTACGGCGTGCGCACCGCCGTGCTGAGTACGGCGACGAGACCAACCCCGAGATCCGCACGTTTCTCGAGCGTATCTCACCGATCAACAACGCGGATAAGATTAGTGTGCCGATGCTGATCACGCACGGAGAGACGGACACACGGGTGACGATCCACGAGGCGTTCCAGATGTATGGGGTTGTGTCGAAAAAGGTGCATACAGAGTTAGTTGTTTGTGAGAAGGAGGGACACGGTAAGCGATGCTTGGGTTATAGTCCAGATGATCAGACTGAAAAACGAACTTCGGATAGGATATAAGCAGAAGAGTGTCATTGAGTTCGTAAACGCGGCTGTCGTGCAGTTTGTCGAGCGTCATCTCTTATCGCGAAAGACAAACCTCTAGTATCGGAAGCTCGACTTCGTGGGGAGACTTGTAAGGTACGTTTCGTTCTTTTCGCGGGCGAATGTACACTGAAAATAAGTTAGAATACGTGTACAATATTGAGATCAACATTCGTTGATGATTATATCTTATCTCACTGCCTTTCTCGCGATCTCCGGGAGAAATGCATGTGTTCCTGCAGGACATCCTCGCCAAGTCCCTATTCCTGAATTCGTACCCTTCAGAGAAATCCCGCCAGGTTCTCAGTGGACTCTGTTCTCGGACGATCGAGGTGGTCATTGGACCTCATGTATCATCAAGTATTCCAGCTAAAACATAAAGGCGCTCAAGGATTCTCAGCCATAATGGTTATCTGCCGAAGTCTTCCCGTCTCAGTTCTCTTCGTCGCATACCTTGAGAGTCCAGGCTAGTTATACCCTCGGTGCGCGGAATAAGCCTCGATCGATCAGCTTCTCCGGAGTCCCGAGGTACCTCGTGACCCTCATAATTAGCCATGTGAACAATTCCCGGTGAGTGCTCGGACAATGCACCAAATTACCTCACAATGCAGTCTTATATTCTCGACCCTCTGGCTTGACTTATGCCCACACGCCCTCTACGAAATCCCGTTCAAACCTCGATATGTTCGGGACCGCCAGCTTTCTTCTGGCGTTCACCGCCGCCTTCGGTGGCACTGGCGTGTTCGCTCAGGAGGACCAGGTCGCGCCACTCGACCAGTACCCCTATCCGGATCCACTGATCCGTAATACGACCACGGGCACGTATAACGGCTACCTCGACACAAACACGACGGGCGTGCCGCTGTACAAATGGTACGGAATGCACTTTGCCGCGACGACGGCGGGCGCGAACGCGTGGCGGCCCCCGCAGCCTTACGATGTGCCCGAGGGCGTGCAGAACGCGACGGCGATGGGCGATGCGTGCATGCAGGGAGAGTATAACGCCGGCAATGGGACGCAAAATCAGAGCGAGGACTGCCTCTTCGTGAACGTTGTCGCACCCGTGGGCGCAACGAACTTGCCAGTATACGTCTATTCTTTGTGCGTTCCTGAAAAATATTCTCGATTGACGGTCGTTCTAATATTGGCATCCACATTCAGCGGAGGTGGCTTCACGGGTAACGCAGCTTCGGACCCCAAGATAGACGGGTCGTGGCTGGCTTCCAGGGATATCGTCTACGTCAGCTACAACTACCGGCTTGCGCTATGGGCGTTCCCCAACTCGATCGAGATCGCCGAGGCAGGCGAGACGCAAAACCTTGCGGTCCTCGACACTCGTGCTGCTGTCGAATGGGCATATAACAACGTCGCGCAGTTCGGTGGTGACCCTACCAAGATCACCTTCGGAGGTATGTTCGTGGCTCAGTTTCTACGGGTAATGGTAGCTAAGGACGCTTTCGCAGGCGAATCTGTTGGTGCAGGTCAGTTTATGTGTTCCTCTTTCATCGCTAGTGTGTATCTCACGGTGACGCTCAGAGATGACGCTTTACTATCTCAATGCTTATTGGGAAAACCCCCTCATCCGCGGTGCCGTTATGCAGTCTTCTGATAGTAAGCACCATTCTCATCGCCCATTATGTCCCTTCTCAGACGGCGGGAACCTCCAGCGTCCCAACCCATGTGGCAAACAAACAACCAGCTGGATATTATCTCACGTAACGTGTCTTGCCCGACGAGTGGCAACGGTCAACTCGACTGTCTCCGCACTAAAGATCCCTTCGAGTTGCAGGCGGTACTCATTGATTCTGGGGCACAATTCCAACCCGTAATAGACAACATCACAGTCTTTAGGGACCCGGTGAGACTGCAGATCACCGGGCAGACGACGAAGGTCCCGTTGCTTATCGGGAATAACATGGTGCGAAATCACTCAAGTTGACCGTACTACGAAGAAATAGAAGACTAACTATACTACAGAACGAAGGCCAGACCATCGTCAACGGTGAACCTACATCATACACCAACGAGACAGCTTACATGTGAGTTTATAGGATCTCGTTGTATGCGGATTCTCATCCACACGTCCATTGACAGTATGAGCAACAACTTCAACTTCCCCATGTCGAATATTCCTCAAGTCCTGAGTATGTATCCGTCGCCGTCACCTGAGTACCCTAGCATCATCAACGCGACCTCGGCAATGTGGCGGGATGCACACATGATTTGTCTTTCGAGTAACCTCGCTCTCTGGCGAACACAGCTGCTCAAGCTTCCTGTATGGCGCTACGAGTTCGCGCTCGTAGCGGATAACTTGAATGCAGAAGGCGCGTCTATTGGAACGTTCCACGGTAAGTGACCTTTGCTTTCAAGTATCCACCAAGCGCTGATCCAGGTCGGCAGGCGAAGATATTCAGTTCGTTATGGGGTGAATATTATATCACGAATGTATTTGAAACTATCTGACGCTTTCATGAAGCACACTCTACACCATCGCTGACCAGGCGCCTTACATTCCGGCTACGCCATTCGAGTGGAACGTCTCCGACTACATGGTGACCGCCTGGACCAACTTCATCAAAGGCAAGCCTAAGTTCTTCCCTCACGTAGGAGTTTCCTGCTAATACCCCTATTTCAGACCCAGAGGCGGGCCCCCGCATTGAGGGCTGGCGCCAGTATGACCCTGCTGACCCGACGTCGCTTGCTGTGCTGGGCATCAGTGAAACAGGCGCGATTCCCGGTAATGCGAGCGACATCGACCATACTTGCGCGTACTGGAATCAGATCCTGCCGTTGTTCCCCGAGGTGTGTAAACTCGGTTATGGCGGGATATTTTGGCACTGATTTTTTGTTAGATCTACCCTGAGTGTGGAACTTGGACGTGCGAGTCGTAAAGAGAGTGTCCTGCTGCTTGGGCTTTGATAGTGGACGCTAAGATTGTCGTAGACTTCTTGTGATTTACATAAAGGGGTTTATCCATCTTGACGATACCTTCAATAGCTTAGCCCAAGGTTAATGCCAATGAGTCAAGGATCAGAAGCTCATTGACTCCGACGAGAATGCAGGCCCAGTCAACTCCTCGCGTTGTCGTCGTGACTCGAAAGCCCCTGTCGGAGGGGAAAGTCCGTCATTTCTTGCAAGCGAGCTTTGCACGATTTCCTCTTTGACTAGTACTGTATTGTATAAGTGTCTTGCACCCATCCACCGTTCAGGATACATCTTCAGCACAATCCAATGGCGTTGGTGTCTGCGAACCCATCTAGTAGTCACCCCGACCTGCACACTGTACATGCGCGTCTAAAGCACATTCACACCGCTCTGGCGTCCTACCAGCCCATCCACGCCGAACCTCCTGTCATCGACTCAACTACTGATCAAGAATCCACAAACCAAGGCCAATCGACGACAAAGGAGGGAGTTCCAGGACTGAGATTCCTGCGTGAAGAAGTCAAGAGAGATCTGGATGTCTTGACCAAAGTATGTCGTCGCTCTCTTCACCTTCTCTTCAGCCAATCCGACAGCATATCGGATGATCTAGAGTCTACTTAGGCTGACTCACCCTGATTCTGCTGTTTTTTTTACTCTAGTAGTTCCTTGCGGGGGAAGACGCACGGCATCAGCCTCCACTATCAACCAACGCACCCTATCTTATTGCCGTGTGGAACGAGCTACTCACAGCACGTCCCGTTGTGCAATCTGTGTATAAGAACTTCTTTCCTAGCGATCCTCATCAAGATGATAAGAACAACAAGTCTTCCAGGGCTGAGAGGAGGAAGCAACGCGGAACATGGACTGGAGTGAAGGTAGACATCGTCGCCGACAGTGGCAAGGAGTGGATACGGGTCAACACGTCAGTCTCGCTTATATCTCTCTGCCTCTCCCTTGCTGACATCGTGATGCTGTCTGTTCACTCCCTAACTTCCATCCACTCTGGTCTCATACCGCGAATATATCGTCCTTATAAGTATCAAGAATGCACGCATCCTAGTCGAGTTCCGCGAACAGGATTCCTATCTCACCAGCTCGGAGTCGGAGAGCGACGATGAGCCACGTAACTCGGTCCATCGCGCCAACGGACTTCGCCCTCCAGCCCTCGACAACTCCGTGCTTAAGATGGCTCGTGCTCTCCTTGCAGCTGCCCAGGATAACCCCGTGCCTGGGACTGGTGGAACACCTAGGGTGACTCTCCGCCTCACGCGACTCAGCCCCGAGCCCGCGCCAGGCAGCGGTGAAGCTACGGATCCACGAATAGGGAAAACCATTGAGACATTGCAAGAGATGGGTATCAATGTGTTACTCGGCGAGGGATCAGGCCCCGATGACTCTTCGTTGGCACCGCATTCCGAGCCGGTAGCTTCTTCTATGACACGCGAAGTCACTCCTCGGCCTACGCGTTGCATCAACCTCGACCTTTCCTTTGTCATTGCGCTCATCTCCGACATCACCCACTCCCCCGTGCCATCTACGGAAGAAGAAGCACAAGAGCGTTATGTCCCGTCCCAGCGGTATCGCGACTGGAAAATCAAACGTCTCCAACAACTCAGCACTACCAGTGACCCCACCCATAGCACTGATAGCTTAGTGAACGATGAGTCTTCGCAGCAACGTTGGAACGGCGATGACACGACTATCCACTCCCGCGCCCTCGCAGCACAGGCAGTCCAAGAGATTTACCGTGGGCTCTTGCAAGATGTGCAGGAGCGGCTTTCCAGTATCTATCCCGGCCTTGACAGTGTTGAGTTCTGGATGACCTGGGAGGCACGCCGGAGGTGTCTTCAGATCGTCGGTAAAATCGGCGGGTTGCGGGAGAGACTGCGTGCTGCAGCGCTTTTTCCGCCCTCGAGCAACGTAGGTGATGAAGGGGATACAGGTGTGCCCGTCGACGACGAGCTCATGAAGCAGTACTGGGCTACTTCGCGATATGCGCAAGGGTTACTGCCTATCTTGCCCATTCGGTTCTTCCCGAGTGCGCTCCCTCCTGAAGTGAACTCAGCAGACGACAGTGCACAGACCCCACCACCATTCTTTCGCGCCCTCGAAAACACATGCCGCACTCTCCTTGCACCCGACGAAGTCCTCGCCCTCGGCTCTACCGATCCTCCACTCCCCTCAGCGTCCTCCCCTCCATACTCGGAGGACGCAGCTCCACCAGCCGTCAACACCGACAACGCCCAAGAAGAACCAGGAGAAATACCTGCAGCAGCCGTCCTGCGCTCCTGCCCGCGGCTGACCGTGCACACCGTGCAGAGCCTCCTCTGGGGCGCGGCGCGCGGCTGGACGACGCTGACGACGAACCGCTCGAGCGTGCGCACGGTCCTCCGCGAGGTGCGCCGCGCGACGGGAGACTCGTGGTTCAGCTACCATAGCGAGCCGCCCGCTCGCGGGCCGCTGGATGGCTCGACGAGCGCTGCAGACGCTGCGATCTGGATTGCGGACCCGCGCAGTCTCGCAGAGGGGATGCGGTCGGATGCGGGTGACTTCAACGGTGAAGTCGACGTAGAAGCGTGATGCACGGGGGAGAGGCGGGAGGATAGTTAGGTTATCGAGTACCATTCGATGTGTATACCCATGTGTACAAGAAAGAATGCTATGTGCAATTCTAGAGGTAGCAACAAGCAAAGGATCAAATGTATACGTAGGACCTTCAACAAGCAGCACAGAAAACAGAAGAACAAGATAAGCTGGACACTGATACTCGAATAAAGTCCTTGTGCAGCGCGACGAGCTTACGCGTCAGAGGCACATACACGTACAATGGGCGGGTGGGTGACTACAAAAACGTGGCAAAAAAGGTGATGTAGAGTATACGATGAATGATATGTCCGTCTGTCCGTCCGTGCGTGGAGTGAAAACAAGTATATCAAGCACGATGAGAAGAATGAACACAACGAAGCCGAAAAGGGGGGTGGGCAGTCTAGCTTAACTCGAGTCGAGATCTGGAGCCGAGCGCTACCGCCGCCGCACAGACGTAGGCGTGCCCGACCGCGCAGTGAGCGGCGTCCCCGGATCCGCATCGTCATACTCCGTATCCTCGCCACTATCGTCCTCGCTCTCGGCTGTGTTATATCCTCCGTGATGACCATGACCGTGGCCGTGGAAGCTCTGCTCCGCCGTCGCAAACGAGCTGACCGAGTTGGCCGTGCTCGCGCGCGACGCCGCCCTCATCTGGGGCTCGAAATCCGGGTTCCGGCGGGTGCTCGCGTTGGCGTTGGCGTTGGCACTGACATTGCCCGTCTTTAACGCCCCGAACTCGAGCGGACTTGGCAAGCCGTTGTGAGCCACGGTCCTGACGGACCGTGTCGACAGTGGACGAGCGGGCTCTGTCGTGCGCTGCGGGAACGCGGAGCGCGTCGAGGTGATGGATGAGTTGCGTTCGGGGAAGTTCGTGTTAACGTATGAAGGCGTGGGTCCAGGTACATGTGCGGATGGGGGCGGGGCGATTGCAGGAGGGGAGGATGATGCAGGACGGCCAATGATGGTGGTCCGGCGCGAGGGGCTCGAGGTCTCAGCTACAGGAGAAGGGGACGAAGCGATGATGGTAGTCCGTCGGGACGGCGAAGCAGGCGAGGGAGCAATGATAGTCGCCCGCCGGGAAGGGGAGGTGATGTCGGAAGCGGCGATGGACGCAGTCGAGCGGTGCGACGGCGCATGAGCGAGCGACTTGGCGATCGAGTTCGTCGACATGGTCGACATCCGACGCGCGACAGGGTCAGCGCTGTCGTCGCTGATGCTATTAAGCCGGGTCACCATCGAGCGGACGGAGCTATTCCGCTGCACGGGCGAGGTCGGGTTCGAATTTGAAGGTGACATGCCCTCGGCGACACGCACGCTCTCGACAGGTGACAGTGGTGCAAAGGGAGGAAGAATTGGCGGACCGAACGCGAGGTCTGAATCAGCGCCCGACTCTTCCTGCTGCTGCGAGCTCGAAGCTGCAACCTCAACTGGCTCCTGCACCGGGCTCTCGACCACCACTGTCTCCCCATTCTCTCCTGCCTCCTGCCCCTCCCCACCCGCGCGCTCCTCATCCTCCTCCCCCTCAAATGGCGGCGGCGGCACGACATTCACCCGACTCGCCGAATACGCAACCGCATCAGGCCCATACGGCACCCCAAACTTATCCAGCGCCTCCCGGCTCGTAATCAGCTTCACCTGCTCGGCCGTCAACAGCCCGCCCTTCGGCGCATAAAACTCGCTCCGCCGCGCCGTGTGCGTGAGCGGGGCCGAGATCGAGTTGAGCGAGATCATGGAGGGCGACGTCATCTGCGCCGCGTGCGAGTGCGAGAGCGCGGATATGCTCGAGTTGGACGCGGGGTGGCGCAGCGTGCGCAGGGCCTGTGAGAGGCCGCGCGAGTGGCCCCGGCGGTGTTGGCCGGAGGGTCGTGGGTGGGGGTCATGCGATAAAGATGAGGTCGTGGCGGTGGTCGCGTTCGAGAGGTTGCGCGAGTGCCCACGGTCGACGGAGAGGTTGTTGTTGTGTCCAGCAGCAGGAGTGATGACATTGGCCTCGAGGTCGGAGGGGATGGGATTCTGATCTGATCGCGGGACAGCAGCGGCGTTCGAGAACGGGTTCAGACGGCTAAGGAGCCCCGAGCCGCGCGAGCGGCGATCGCGCACTGTCGCGTCCGCATGGTCAGCAGTAGAGCCACGGCCGGATACCGCCGCTTGTTGAAGCGCACGCGAGACCGAGATGCGTCGCTGCGGCTCTTCGTCATTCAGGTTGACAGACGAGAACTGGTTCAAATTGTCCGACGACATCGCCTCCATGTACGACGGCGCGTCCCCGCGCGGATCGGCCGTGTCCGCCGACAGATTCGCCTGATGTCCGCGCGGTCGGTCGCCGGGCTGCAGAGAAGAGGCAGTTTCGTGCGACGCCGCAGAGCTGTCCGTCGTGCTTTCCACGCTTTCATTGGTTGGGATCGTGCGAAGGAGGTGCGTCGTCGACGCCATGGGCAGCGTATCGGCCGTCGCGTGTGTCTCGACGCGGTGCAGCGCCATAGCCTCGTCTGTCACGTCCACCTCGTCGTCTTCGTCGTCCATATCCATCGGTCCTCTATATTTAGAAATGTGATGAGCGAATGGCGAGACGCGGGGCACGGGAAGAGAGCAAGACGGAAAGTGCACAATCACGTTCAAGATAGATAGAAGGGTAGAAACGAAGGATCATATCAGCACCGCCTGTGCATGCGAACGATGGATGAAGGCGCAACAGGAGGAGATATGCGAACCTGATGATAACGAGCTCCTGCTCGCCCGGCTCCTTCATGTACGCCGGCAGACTCTTGGTCGATATCTGACTGGGCGTGCGCCTCGGCCTGCGTCGCCTTTGCTGGGTGCCTTGGCCATTTGCCTGCCCAGTGCCTGGGTTCCTTGCAGCAGCGATATCCGGGTCTGTCCCTAGCTGAGCAGCCGCATTGTTACCCAGAGACCGTCTGAAGTTGCGCCTCGAGCAGGCAATGATAGCAAAGATGCCAAACACCAGCCCTAGCACAAGGATTGGTATCTAGGCGCATTGGGATTAACAAAAAAAGCGCATATATGCACATGTGAATTCGACTCACCCATGTCTGTGGTGTCATGCTCCCGCTCGAACTGCCGCTGTCACGTTTGGCGATCGTCTCCAGTATTGAGTTGCGTTTTGCGAGGTCGGGGGCATCGGGAGAAGAGAAGTCGTGGGGGCTGACATCGTGGTTCGGTTCGGAAATGGCCAAGTTTTCATTAAGCGGTCTTGCAGAGGCGCATAGCGCGGCGGATGATAACGCCAGCAGCAGCGCAGCAGCTCTCCAGGGCCAGCCTTCAGTCGTCTTCATCGTCGTAAGTGGTGTCGTGCGGGTCGTGGTCATGAAAGGAGAGAAAGAGGACATGGCGGAAGAGCTAGGAGGGGTTGAACAAGAACGGTTGGAGGCAATGACCAAATTGACAGGCGAGACGACGCGCGCGTGGGGCCGAGACTTGATGACAGAATGACACTTCCGGCTAAACTCCCAACCAGGGGACGTCTTTGCCGACACGATGATTCCAACGCTCGACGCTGGAGAGGACGACCTTCGGGTTGAAGGACGAGGGCGTATTGGCGAGAGATATCACAAGTGAAGAAAGGGCGGTAGGTATGGCTACAAACTTGGCCTCGTCAGATGAACCTTCTTGTTTCCCTGGGGCTGTACCCGTCCATTTCCCATTGGGCCATTCCGCTCAAGTGTGCCTCGTGCTCGGCGCGACTCTGTAATCTTGCCTGACATCCACCGTCGGCTTGCCCGCAGCATCACCTTTCCTTTTGTTAATTAGCCATGACCCAGTCTCAAGCTAGCAACGGTCCATGCATATTGCGCTATTCTTGAAGTCAAAACGTTTCTGTATCCTCGGTCGTCCTTGTTCTTCACCTTATCTTCTCGCTACAACGCCAGGCACGGCATCTTTTGTTCTGGTGACCCACCACCAACAAACTCACCGCTCAAGCAACACCGCCTTCGCTTTCCAGCTCGCTAAGTAGGTGCAATGTCACACCAATACAGCATCTCAGTCATCCCTTGATAATCATGAAACGTGACCGCATCGCCCGCACTCTACGAAAACGCACGGGCGGCAGCTAGCAGCAAACGGGGAACAGAGACGTGGACGCGGGGGAGCTGGCGACAAGAATAGCGCTGGGTTGCGGACGCATCAAACCTTGCATTCCCTGGTCCGGGGAAGAACGGTAGCACCCGAAGGAAACGCTCTATGAAACGCACGCCTCAAGCGTGCAGTATAGTGTAGCAAACGTGCTCTCCAGGTAACGGGGTGAGGGCCTCACCATGTGGAGGCCTCTCTACCATGGAGAGCCCTGCTAATGCTGACACCTAGACACGTTAGTCGCGCGTCGCCTTGAAGCTCGATTAGTCCATTCTCAGGACACCACTGCACCAGTAGCACGCCACGGAGGGCAGTGTCAACTTATGCGTCCACACGGACACCTGGGCATCAGCTAGCACTCGGCCTTGTCGGATCAGGCCGAGAGCAATGCCTTCATTCTCTGATCGTCTGAGAGAACTTCAGGCGAGCATACTATAACTTTATAGTAGCTTCACGCACAACGAGCGCTGCAGCAACACTTTTCTTATATTATTCCGCGAGAGGATATGTACTCGATGGCGAGTTGACAGGAAGGTTCGTTGTCCTCAAAAACTTTCATGCAGTGGCTGCTTATACAGAGGCTAATATTCGATACAGAAAAGCGCTATACGTTACCCCACCACGATTGTACACTTGATTATCCAGTCGATCTCACTTGCGCAACGCGCTTAATATCCACTAGACAGCTGGTTCTGGGCATGGCCCTGGGCTTCAAGACAACAAACGTCAGCACGGCGCAAACCTCAGCCAATCACCAGCAATATCCAGACTCACCCTGGTTCTGGATCTTGTCCCGGTGGGCACCGACGTAATCCATACCCTTGGTTTCGACCAGGCGGTCGAGGAACGCGCCCGCAAATCCAGCACTGTCAACGGGCAGTACGCAGGCCTTTAAGTGAGTGCCTCGGGGCGGGAACCATGATAGGGGTAAGCAGCGAGACGACGTACAAGAGCTCCTTGGCTTTGGCATGCGAGGGGGGCTGACCGTTCTCAGCGACGTGCTTCTCATATGCCTTCGCGGCCTGGGAATAACACGGGTGAGATGTCGTACTCTCAGGCGTGGATGGACCGACGCCAGTGACAGGCCTTACCTCGTAGGAAGCGGCGGCAGCGATCAGCTCATGGGAGAGGGCCGCCTTGTGCGGGGCGTTGACGACCTGCGTGGGACGAGTACCGCCGGTCAGCATCTAGGACGGCTTCAGTCGGCGATCCACCTCGCACCTGGTCGTAAGCCTGAGCTTGCTCGGAGTCGTGGCTGAAGAAACCCATGGTAATTTAAAAATGTAGAGGAATGGACGATTTAGGGATCAAAGGTTGTTGGTTTACATCTTGCACTTCAAAGGGGGTTCTTATACGGTTGCGCAGCAGATCGGCGACACCCGAGCTTGAGCTTGGCGATGAAGCAGAGGGCCCTCATCGTCATCTCTCTCTCTCTGGAATGGAATACTCATCGCCCATTTGATTCCCAAAGGCATTTGCAGCACCAGAGTCAGACAGGAAAGGGGTTTCAGTATGATGTCATCGGAACTTGTTCCGCGTGGGCACTGCCGCAATCACAAGGTTTGCGTTGCCACAGTTATGTTCAAGGTGTGCAGCGCTCTCGGAAACACCCAATTTGACTGTGCCCTGCATGCGACGGGGCGCATCGACGTAGTCTCCAGCAGTACCTTGACCGCTATATCCCCTCAAGCATGGAACATATTCTAACACCGCGCTCGCAAGCAGTTTGTGGCGTGGACTACTAGGGATGGGACAACTATTCAAATCACGTCTGGCGCAGGGTTTGTGGGCGTACCGACGCTAGCGTAGTATTCCGCAAGGCGAGTGCTCGTTATCAACAACGATCTTTATACTTGAATTGACGTTTGCCTTTCCATCAGTGAGCACTATCAGCATGCCGCGCATTCCATCTCATCTATGTGATGTTGGTGCTTTGTCACGATAAAGCACTTGCGGGTCTTACGGAGCCAATGGACGGTGAGCTAGATCCCGCCTGAAACATTAAGGGATCAAAGCTATCTAACCGTAGGACCGGCTTCACGCCAGTCCTACCCGTCCACCTGGCACTGATGTTGACCAGGTTTCGATGCTGTTTATCGATATTTTTCCCTATCTTTGCCTTGTATGTCCCGGCTGCTGAGTCCATTACGACTACATGTATTATACAGGACCATGTGTTTCAGTGACTTCATGTTAGCTAACTACAGATTTGCCAGCTCTACATACGGCCATCTCGCAGACTTGAAAGCCAGAAATCGTGATGATGCGCGACATCAGTATCGCTAGTACTCTAGCGATAAATCATGACCAGTAGTATACATTTGAACAGTATTTCTTATATCGTTTTCTCGATACCCAGCTTCAGTAAATACTGACGGCTGCTCGGGTTCGTTGGCAAACAGTTATGAGAGAGTTCAAAGACACTCACATAGCCGTATTGGACATATGTCTCGATAGCGGACACACTTGTGCCCCCGTTGACTTGACGTTTGTTAGCCTTGCTCAGGCTCAGCACCAGATGATTGATGGCCATCGGAAAGATAGAGATCATTATGCACTCCCCAATGATGTTTGCATCGGGATTGGCATCCGCCACTGATAGGACCAACAATAGCACCTGTGAAACAAGTATACTTCTCATACAGATAAGATGATGCACAACATCAAGGATTCGTGGAACCATACCTAACGTAACACGTCAACGCCCTTTGAGAAACCAACTTTAAAAGATTAGCCCCACTCCAGTGCGCGTTGATAGAGTTCATGTTGTATTTAATCGTCTTGTAAGCTATGAGCCCAATAATGATCACATCCAAAACCAGGATCGAGATACTGTGCCAGTTATTGGATTAGATATAATTGTCGGGAATTCAGAACTTATACGTACGAGGCATAGTTGTTAATAGTCAAGTTTGTGTCTATGCAAAGGCCGAGCTCGGGAGGGTCAACTAACGGTGGTGTCGAGAAGGTGTTATGACAAGCTGAATAGATGAGCATTGAATTCTTCGCTTACTTTGAATGAGCGCAATGTTCGCCGTATTTACGCTGAACGCAAATAAGGCCACCATGAGAAACAATGACCCAGTTGGCCATGTGATTACTTTATCTGAGGCCGGTCTTTGTCAATAAGACCACGGAGGAAGGAGTATCATTATCACGCACTAAATCCGTATATCGCAAATACGTGAAGAAGTAAAATCACTGGCCCAAAGAGCTATCAGCGCGGCAGATAAAGTAGATTAGATCTTCATTTACTCTCAGCATTCAGCCAAAGCAAGAATACTAGGAAAGCAGGTGAGCTAAGCTGACAACAATGTTAATAACGCCGGCGCCCTCACCGGTTATGGTTGACGATATATTCCAAGCATGGCCTAATGCCTTGTGAGCCTTATAAATGATTTTAGAAGGGCTTATCACCAACATCTGTTGCTGTATTAGCGTGAGTACTAAGTTAATGGAAAGATTATTCCCACAGTAAACGTGTCTGAGTAGTATTGACAGAAACTGTTTAGTTCAAACTGAGTTCTAGCACTTGAACTCTCGAAAGACAAATACCTACAGTATGACAAGACCACGCATCCCAGAAGTGCGAAGTAGCGATTCTATGAGGTGGTGGCAAAGGTTAGATTGTCATGGTCACGGGGAGAATCACGCAGGATCAATATACACACAAAGAGGAACAAGAACTTGGGGAGTCTAAATGCTGCGCTCTGCAGAAAATCAACTTAGCAAGGATAGCTCAGGGGTCATATCATGGAACAATGAGCTTACCCATACCAAATCTACCTGTTTTTAGATGGTAAGTGTGAGACACGCTTAAGAATAGTAATTCTTCACTTCATCCGACAACGTGGTAACTATAAGAATTATGGCATGCTTTATCATGTGCTAGAGCCGTGAGAGAGCTCACGTAGGTGCCATGCATACAAAAACGTGGATGCAACTGCAGGGGTCCAGTCCGTCGAGCGGTTCGGTATGCAAAAATGAATATAGCTAACCTGTAAGACGTCGACCAAATATTACCTTGCCTACTACTCCAATGAGTAAATTGATTTCCGACTCATTCGTGTCCAATGTAGCGACCAGGGACGAGGCAGAGTCATTGAAGATGGTGGCGAGGCCGAAGGGGGGATGCGTAGCCATAAAGAGGAGGGAGATGTTCAGAGGGAGGTCTCTAAGTAGACTCACAGTTTGGCGACTGAAAGCTGAAATACTGGGTGTTCCCTCACGGCATTTATAGCGCAATATATCAAGGCTCATTATTTTCATGTATGTCAAGGGCAAGCCTGAGATGGAGCTTTACAGCCCCAAGTGTACATCACACAGGTCTTTTTATATCTGGAGTCCCGGACGTGACCAGAGCTTTAGAGTCACATTGGTAAGCCGTTCATCACGGATATCACAGACGCATCGAGATTCGTTTGCATCAAATGGTATTCTCCCATAGATATGTATATCTTTCACATGGGTGGGCTATGATGCGACGACAAAATCAGAACCTGGCGGGGACAGCCCGGGTTTGGCGAGGAGCTGTTCCAGTATAAAAATAGGTGCATCAGTCAATGTGGAGGATGTTGATGAGCGCGGTGTTATAGATCGTTCCTGGGCGAGATGCCTGTGTCCGGCGGACGTAGGTTAGGGGAGATATCCTACAAAAGGGCGGTGATTGATGTCATTACAGAGGCCCCTGGGCGACCCGATTATAGGATAATAGCCCTGAAAATCACAAACGGGAATCTGATGTTGAATGTTTCAATATTGATCCAGTCGCCTGATTACGGCAATGTGAATGAACTCAGCTATCATTTTCTCGAGCCTACCTTTTATAAGGGATGCTTGACAAGTGGCTCCCCAAAGATGGAGACAAGTTGATCTGTTTCAGCACAGGGCAGCGAATGGCTCGCCTTGTGCATCAGAAAACATACAATTGCACTGGTAACCTACTTTTACTATCTCGACTATATCCTGGTGTGCTGATTGGGCGGTTAACATCGCGGCGTCTGAGATCTAAAATATCACAAGCAAGCTTCCTGAGCCCAAAGCTCATCTTGAACATACAGTAACCTTAACTAATGAAGCGCTTTCCACGAAGTGATGTGCCAGCTCATTGTGGCGTCTCCGCATCTTGAATTTCGCACGAGGTAAATGATAGGCCCTCAGACCTCACTTTACCCCATTACATGGGGACGCCGGAGACGACGACGACGAGTAACCTCGTATAGTAGGGACGAGTAGCTACGAACATGTGCAAGCACGCTATGTACTGCCTACACTGGCCATGCCGGCCCTAAACTACCTTCCTCGAGGCTCGGTCCGACCCTAGTCCCTACTACATGTAGGCTCAGCTCGAGCCATATGTGCAGGTGACATGGTTATCGACGCACAAAGCCTTTGTTTCCACGGTGCTTCTAAATGGTTCCACAGGTATCTGATATGTTTGTTTATGAAGGCTTCCTCTTTTGGCATAGAGGAGTTTGCGCCCCGTCTCGGGAAATACACTTTACAAGGTTCACCCCATCACCTTCGCGCTCTGATGCCCTTCCCAGCGGGAAAAAGCACTCTCTGAGGGATTTTCTCTGTGGAATGAAAGTCGCCATGACCTTCTTTTGACACAATTACTAGTAGCTCGTTGTTAACAACCGAGCTCAAGCTCGTGCGTAAGCTTGGCGATGATACAGCGGTGGGTGCATCTATAGTCGATTTTCTATCTCACGAAAGCAAAAAACCATCGCTCATTTGGCTCGTATGTCTAAGACAGCCTGAAACGTTACAGGACCCGAGGCTGGCCTAGACTGGCCCAGACACAGAAGGAGGGGATCTCGGCATAGATGGTACAGATGATACAGATACTTGTTTCCTATGTTTACATTCGCCTTAAACAACGCTGACATGACTTAGTTTTCACCAGTGAGCTGGGGTTCAGCTTGCTCATGCGCTAGATTACGGCAGGGTCCAGTGAATAATAAGCGTGAGGAGGGCTACGAAGACATACCCTCGTCCTTGATCTTGTTGCGGTGGGCATCAATATAGTCCATGCCCTTGGTCTCGACAAGGCGATCGAGGAAAGCACCGGTGAGACCAGCGCTGATAATATTAAGTTAAACTAGAGGGATGTTTAGTCGTCTGACGTACAAGATCTGTTTTGCCTCAGCATGCGAGTCGGGTTTCCCGTTTTTTGCAACGTGCTTCTCATATGCCTTGGCAGCCTAGCGATTTCAAGTACGTTTAGATTATGGTGCTATGGGAAGGTATTAATGTCTTTCACATACCTCATAGGACGCGGCAGCTGCGATCAGCTGGTGAGAAAGCTCGGACTTGTGGGGGGCGTTGGTGACCTGAGTGACCCTGAGTTAGTCGGTGCGGTACATATCTTCTTTTTCAAGTGAACGAACCTGGTCATGAGCCTGAGCCTGGTCGGAGTCTTCGCTGAAGAAACCCATGGTGAAATAAAGATGGCTGGTCGTCAATTGGGTTGAAAATGATAGTGGCGGTCAACCCACCCATTTGAAGGGCTTCTTATAGCAATCTAGACTCGACCGTGGCGCCCGATATGTGTGGGGTAATGGTATAGTGCGGGGCTTATCTCGGTCACACTCATCGCGCATCACGAGCTCAGAAACTAACCCATTCGCGTCCATTATTTGCACAGGATGAGGATTTGAAACATTGCTACATTCGTGATATTGGTGCTATCGTAATTTGATGAGTACCAGCGATCAGCAAGTTTTGACAGATCTGATGGAGTGTATGTGGCTCAGGCAGTGTCTGTAGGGTCGCTCCTCCATAGTAGAGTGGCAAGGTGTTGATAGGAGCTTGTTATTGTATCTTCATAAACCCTTCGCGGTTTTTGTTGGCTTATATGTGGCAGGAATCTATCTGAGGGCCAGAGTTAGCGCTGTTCTATCCTTCAGCTCGTGAGGATAAGCATAGCAGAGGTAGTGTGGCGTGTAGTACATCGCCAACATTCTCCAAGTCGATAGACACCCAAGCCGTTGCAAACGAATAAATACACGAATAACTACCAATATTATATAACACATACATACACTATAACTTGTTACAGGTCATTAGAACCGGAAACCACGCCGTTCATAAGCATCGAGGCTGCCTTGAAGCTTTTGACAGGTAGTGATATACGACTTCGAAGCCGTCTTCCATCCTCCGCGCCCGTCTGGCTGCCCGCAGCGAACGTTTCTTTTTCTATCTCACCTGCATCAAGCTCGGTGCACCAGTCCTCCTTCACCATATCCGCGCACTTCTCCGCAATCGCCACCGTCGTTGCGACGAGATGCGTGCTCAAGATGTGAGGCATCACACTCGCATCCGCAACGCGCAACCCCTTAACGCCATGCACGCGCAAGCGCGCATCGACAACCCCACCTGGGATGCCCCCACCCTCTCCCCCGGCGGGAATGTCTCGGGAATCCTCGGGCGCCATGCGGCACGTCGAGGTGTAGTGCGATGCGCTGATCATCTCGGTCTTTGCCCACGCGTCTAAGTCATCGTCGCTCGCGCTCTCCTCGCGTTCTGGGACTTGCGAGTTGAAGATGGGGTACCCGTGCGCGGCCATGCGTGCCTTCAACGCAAACGAATACCGGATTGCGGTCCGTAGAGTCGCTCGATCTTGCTGCGTGGCGAGAGTGTTGAGATCCACGAGAGGCGCGTCGAGGGGGTCTGAACTTGTCAAGCGTACGGTTCCTCGGGAGGTTGGCCGGAGAGGGATGCTGAAGAGCGATAATCCCCCTTGTCGATGTTTGGTCACGTCTGCCCAAGATACCTATTCTCACAGTTTAATTCGCTGGCTTTCGTCGGTGGTGATAGAGAGCAGACTCACTGGCATGATTTCGATATCCGGCAGGTTCTTTGCTTGCGAGTTGTCCAAGTCGTCTGATCCGGTCACGGCGGTCTCGTACTTGCCATTCAGCAAGCGGGACTGGAGGAAGATAGGAAGCTCGAGAACTGGTGACAGGAGTAGGCCGGTGCCGAAGAAGATAAAGAGGAAGAATAGCTTGATCGCGATCCAAGGGCGCACAACCAGCATAGCCAGGGAGTCGTATAGAGGAATGCGGAACTGAATAGGTACGCTAATGTGATCTTGCTAGAATGACGTATTGATCATTGTCGGTTATGGGTGAATTCTGGTCTGATGGAGTTCACTCACCAGGTTTCCGCCGACGGCGGGCAGGTCCTTGTGTACGATGATGTTTTGCTCCTTCAAGTGCTCAGCCGGGCCAATTCCACTGTTTGAAGGATACTGTACATGAACAATCGGAACGAGCTTAGACAGGATTGGCTTACCTGAGCATGAGCAGATGCGGCGAGAACACTGCACCAGCGCTGAGTACGACTTCGCGACGCGCTTTCACCAAACGCGCCCCCTCTCCCGTCGAGCTTGCTATCCATACCCCTTCCGCTGACAAGCCACTGCCAGACTTGCTGATCTCCACTCGTCTGACGACCGTATTTGTGCAGATGTGAAGGCGATCGCGACGTTCCCGCGCAATCGTGGATGGCAAGAAAGCGGTAAGCGTCGAGCTGCGTTGACCCCACTTGTCAAAAGTGTAGTACATCTTGGTGCACCCATGAGGTGGGGCATCGGGGGCATTGAGGTCGTCAACGTATGGGACACCCATACTGCTGCACGCCTTGATGATTCTTCAGAAGACCACTCAGCTGGCTGATAACACGCGGAAAGATAGTTAACTCACTCATCTGTATGCTTCCAGTGCCTGCGTGGATGAGACTGGACTGGCCACTCTCCTAGGGAGGCATCAGCACACGTTACGTACAAGTATGTGACGGCGTACCCTTAGTTCCATGCCACGGTGACTTGCCCTCAGCTGCGCCATCAAGGTAATTCTCCGTCTTGATAAAGTACGGCAGAACGTCCCGATATCCCCAGCCCTCATTCCCCATTGCCTCCCATGAATCGTACTCCGCTGGCAGGCCACGGGTGTACATCATCGCGTTGATCTTGGATGCACCTCCCAGAGACTTTCCGGAGACGACGTCGAGTTGGCGTCCATTGAGATGTTTCTGCGGCGCAGACGGCACTACATGCGAGCGCGACCCATCCGAGGCGAAGTGGGAAGAAAGGAGTGGTACTCGAGAAATGAAGTTGTTCTGTACTCCTCCACGCTCGATTAGAAGGACGGTAACGTCAGGATCTTGAGTAAGACGGTTGGCAAGGACGCATCCTGCTGTTCCACCACCTGCTCCGCTAGTATGTAAGTCCGTTTTTAAACACGCGCAAATGTAAATCTCACCAACAACAATGTAGTCATAGGATGGAAGGACGCTTCGTAGCGGTGTTTCTGGGAACCTTGAAGAGAACATTGAATGCCAGACGATGTTCTGTCCTCTCGGGTACTTGCACAGACCTGCGCCGAAGACTGAGTATCTTATGAGACTGAAAGCGGTTTGGCCGCGCCACATACCTGCCCTGCGATCACGGAGCCAGCTCGCTGATCGCTGAGCCGAGCATGAGGACACGCACAGCGCCTCACAGCGCCCAAGTATAGGCCCCAGTCTATCAGATCTGTGCGTGTATTCAGATCTTCAGATCTGACCCAATGTGAACATCATCAAGGGCAGAAACTAAATGCGCTGAATGCTATGTAAAGAAGGCGGCAAGACCTGCCATGTCAGTATCTGTAAGTGTATAAGGTTGAAGACGATTTTGACTTGATACCTTTGGGTGATCTCGGAGTCTGATGTCAACGACGTTCATTATTTGAGGGTTTGCTGCCAACAGAGCCGGATTCTGTTGGTTCACATGTGGATGGTTCCGTAGAAGATACCCCAAACACAGGTCTAGGACGGTTGTTGTGATGACGATAAGACGGCGCATTGCTGTGTTCAAATTATAGATCTCGGAGAAACGCGGGAGAAATAAGTCGCGTCGGCAACCCTCGGTACCTTGCGGACCGCCACAAACAGAATAGGGGCTAATGGGCGTTTCGTTTGCACTGCCAGTGTAGGATTGTGCCGCTGTTTATTTGACCACATTGTCCCTTATTCACGGAGACCCTGGTTTAAGTCCGCCAGGCCACAGCCTCCGGCAAATTAGATACTAAGTTCGAGGGCTGACACGGCCTTGATACATACCGGGCTACACTGGCGTTTGCCGGGGCGGATACAAGCTGTGCTACGTACTGACGAGCAGAAGACGTTCTCCAGAATTGACGGGTTACAACGAAGGAGTTATTAATGTGAGAAGACGGTTGAAACTTCAACGAGCCCCAAGTATCGCGTGTTGATTGACTACACAATTGATTAGATCAAAGCACACTTGCCAAACGTCTACGATGTTGTTGATTTTCTTCTGTATCATGCTACATACACGGACAGTGAAACTCATCGCTGCTGAGATGAGAGCTAAATATCATAAGTCGAATCTGTCTGACCATCAAATGACCCGAATCGTATGGTGGCCATCTCGACTTCCCTAGTCTCGTGATTGATACTTCTAAAAGCCGACCCTGATACTACGTGGTCACTACGGGCAGCATGACGTACGCTGAGGATCATATGAGGTCCAATGATAGTCAGTGTTAGTGCCTCAAGGACGCTATCCAGAACCGTAAGAAAGGCGCTTGTAGTCTGAAAAATAGATAAGTGCGCAATTTTCACAAGAATCGATTCACGGCTGACTCGTGGTATGTTGTTCATCTTCAGTGTGACGCTGGTGGTGGATAGCGCACTTTCAGATCATCAGATAGAGCTCCGCACAGCAGAAAGTAGAAAGCACACACAGTAAAAAGTACAAGACATTGTCCTTGACAAGGATTGAGAAAAAGCTCCCTGCACTTCGTGTCAACGCTTTTCGTGATAGGCCCTGCCGTCCTTGGATAGAATCCTGGATGTGCCGGGTAAACTGGTACAGAGACAGTAGTACCATGATTACTTCTACTGCGAGTATTGATCCCACGTTAGCAGAGTTGAGCCGGTCCACGATCGGTAGACGTTCCATATTTACAGAGCTGAAACTGCAGAAACTGTTGTTGGAGAGGATAAGCTTTATCTCTGCGCAGAAGTTCAGACACTGCATGGGACAAAAAGAGCGACTTCTATTACCGACAATACCACTGGATGGTAGAAGCTGAAAAACCGTTGCCGAAAAAAAGATGCCCATCTCGACGATGAAGCAACCGATCAGGAATACCAAAACCTTCATTGATCGTTGGTACATTGCATGCAGGCGCATTATCATCAAGGCTATACAAAGCGGATTCAATAATCAGGAGCTGAGACGGCTACGAAAGAGTAACGCACAGTGCAACGCAAGTAATATTAACACTTGCATGGTCTCGGAGCAAACGAATAGAATGTGGCCTGAAAATCATCGGAATCAGGAGCATTGATACGGATAGATTGTCCATGTAGTCTTACATCTGTGATACAGAGATTAGACATCGTCTCCGTCAGTGGAGAATAATCAATGAAACATACTGCTATAATGCAAGTGAGAAACTTCGCCTCAAAAAGCCGCGAAATCTACATTTGCTTACCAAATCAGATAATGCCAATATCGCCACTGTACTAAATCAATATCAATGTATGTCAGAGCATATTCGTGACTCACGAACAGAGATTCTGTAGTAAAGTTCTCAGCAAGGGTTAGTAACCGAATGATAGAATGCTCGTACACTGCATAAGCGATGCCAACATAACGGAGCTTAATATTCTGCTCTCAGAAAAACGTGTTTGGTGTTACAAAGTGAGAAACTTACCATAATGTAGAGTCCAGTTACGAAGGAAAAGTTTGTTTGCTATCAAAAACAATCAGTCCTGAAGAATGTCTAGAGCAAATGGCACACTTACCCAGATGTAGCTTGACTACGTATCACCAGCGTACAATAAGAAACGGAGAAGTGAATGATTGATATTCACGCACTTCATTATCCAGATGGAGAACTATATTATCGAGAGTAGCAGCGTCAGTTGGAAGCAGCAAAAGAAAACGCTTACGGTAATCATAAATTACAAGAGCCGTCATAGCAACTGAGCGTTGCACGATTTGAGCGGTTCCGTGTCCATGATACTTCAAGAACTCACCTTTGGTGTAAGCGGTATCAAGGTCAAGCTGGATAAACGGCCACGCCTCCGGAACGCTCGAGACATTTGACATGATTAGTCGTGAAATTCGATCTTCATGTGCCCCAGTAAAAGCTCGAGCGGGATGAAACCAGAAAGTGTCAGACTCTGGGAGAATTAATGCGTCAGTCCTTGGCGCAATACGGCACGCTTACGGTAGATATAGCTGGCGGGAGAGACGCCGAACCCCCGTTCCCCGCGCGCATCGGCCGGGCCTTCGATCAGAGCTCCACAGGCGAGGCGATGCAGAGAAATACAGGAGGCGCGGTTTAATAACACAACCCATTGACAACCCACGACAATGAGATCAGTCTTTATCCATGACTTGAACACTAAGAGCTTCATAACGTTCGTACTTTCAAACATGCACTGCAGCAGCGCCCACGAGGGAATAATGGGCGGTGGGTTCAGAGCCGTATACCGGATAGAGACGAGGTGATTGGGACCTCGATATGGCCGTACAATCGCAGCTATTTACTTCTGGCATGTGTGGCCCGTACGTGTTACATGCGGTCTGTTCCTACTCGGGATTTGATGAGATATCACCTTGCCAGGACACTGGGAAGCCGTTCGCGTCTACTTCAACTCTTACCTAACTGTTAATCGTGCTGCCTCTTTTGAGCACAAGGTGCACGCGAGGGCAGATGCGTGGGGGCAAAGTACAGTATGTGCGTAGTGTTACACTTGAAACACGCTGTCGACTCAACGTAAGGAGCTATTTAGTATATGGGAAACCTCATTCGTATCTGGCAATAGGTGAGCGAAGATATCTACGAATAATCGGTGATCAGTTGCTCGAACTCGCGCTGTACATGATCCCACGATCTCTCTGTGAGAACTCCATCAATCAGCGCACTCCCATCCGCAAGTCTTCCCGCCAACGAGAGCAACCGGGAGAACCGTACAGGAAGACGAGACGAGTTGATGCGATAGCTAGAAACAGTGCGCCCGGCACCGAGTGATGTCCAGTCGAACTCAACAATACGCTGAGCCGAGACGTTGGAGACCATCAGAGCTTCGTCCACATCAGGATGCGCGGGATTGAACAAGAACCCTTTCTTCGTTGACAGATCGCGGAGAAAGTGATAAGCAGAGAAGACCTGCGTGGAGTCGAAAGATAGCCGTGACCGGGCAAACGTGTAAGCAAGGTCTGCCAGTGAGGTTTCGCGGAGCGACGAAACCGTCGTGATTGGGTGTGATAGTGGTACAAAGCTGTTGTGCGGAAACTTCGCGAAATCAAAGGCATCGGTGGAGATTTGCTTGCGGAACTCTATGAAGTACGTGCAGTTGATCTTCAAATCAGGACGAGCGCCTACCCCGTACAGAGCCTTGAACATCATTCATCAATGAAAGCGTTGACACGATCGAATGATAGCTCACCTTAAACAAAAATGCCGTCAGCACATCACTCGATGTGATCTTGGACGGATCAACTTCAAGCGTTGACCCATATCTCTCCTGGAGCTGTACGCGAACATCGTCCGCGAGACGCTGGTAGACATTTCTTGGAACGACAATAAGTCGATACTGCGCTTTGAGCCACCACGTCTCCCAAGCGCACCAGAGCAGACCGAAGATGGCAATCCACCACGGAACCGCACACATGCCCTTGTACTTTGCGATCTCGGCACCTGACTGTGTGCTCGAGTCATCGAGCACGCGCTGCAGCGGGTTTTCGTTGTATCCTTCCGACAGAGTGAATGGCACTGTCCAATCTCTGCCATGTAGCTCGTCATCAAGAGCCCGAAGAACAAGCGACGCGCCCACGCCGTCGAAGATGCCATGTGGCCAAGTGAAGCCAATACAGGTATAGGATGGGCTTGAGTCCGAACTATCGCGTGAATGGAAATACGTGAGGTGCCAGAAGGTGAGAGGAGCCTTCTGCGCTGCCCAACCTTCGCTGTCGTGTGGCATAGTCGAATGTATGAAGACGTCGCCTGGAGGGAAAGGGGAGACTGGAGGGAGGGGAAGGGTGACATAACGTGATAGCGGTACTTCAGAGACGCGCGAAGTCAGAGAAAACGTGGCGTAGTCGGGCGGTAAGTCTCCCAGAGGGACTCTCAGAAGCCACTTTGTGTACTGTAACCGTCGTTTAAGTAACATATCTAAACGGGCAGGCTCGAGTGACGTACCGTATCACCATTCACTTTCTCCAATCTTCCAGAGAGAAGCCTCCATTTGAGAGTAAGAGCATTGAGTGCAGTGCGGAGCTTGTTCTCGTCTATGATTCCTTCCACTAGCCATCCGGTTGCAAAGTTAGTCGGACTCCAAGCATCATCAAAGATGGTGAGTGGGAGCAGGGCATAGGGTGACGGCACCGTCATCGTAGACGACGTCAAGGAAGCTAATGGCTGTTGACGAGGTGGATAGGTCCACGTTTTCTATATTTAGCCTTATGCGCGACCTCGGCACGTTTGGCCATCCGCCCAGCTTGGCACGTTTTCATGCTCCCTCGCACTCAAACCTCAAATAATTACATGTGACAAACGGTTTTCGTATTGGAGGCACAGATATAAGCAATAAATAAATACACCAGTGTCAGATCAGAACCTCACAGCCTCTCGCGCCTGATGAGCCTCACAGGCACATCCCCTACGCCCATCGTCATCGTCGTGTGTGCCCGCATAACGCGCTGCCTCCACTCCGTCTTGCTCTCACCGGGCCTGGCTATGATTTCCACGCGCCAATCGCGAAGCAGATGAGCCAAGAAGCAGCACGCTTCCGTCAGGGCGAATCTGCGTCCAGTGCCTGAATGCAAGCATCAGAACAAACCTTCCTTTGATGAAACACGAAAACAGAAACGCTCACAGGCTCGCGGTCCGACGGAGAAAATAGACACGTCGCTCTCAGAGACGCCGTACCAGCGCGACGGGCGGTACTCTTCCGGCTCAGAGAAGTGTCGTGGGTTATGATCTGTGAAATCATCAGCACCAGTTGAACAACGATCCTATGATGATGATCATGCTTCGTTTCAGGACAGTACTCACGGAGTCCAACAACATCAACCGCAACCCGAACGTCTGGGCCCAGGCCCACCTGGCTCCTCGCACCGCTGCGCTCAAAGTGGGGAAGCACGATGTTATCTGTCGTGTCACGAACAAGCACAAATCCGGGCGCTGCGAACAATCAATGACTGGGGCGAGAAATAGAATTTTGCGACTTACAGAAGAGTCGCCCAGTTTCGATGAAGCAAGCAAGGACCTTATCCAGCTGAGAGGCCATGGAAAACGTCTGTATACTACTTGTCAGAAGGGCTTGGATGTATCTTGAGACTCTAACAACGTACAATCGGCGTGTCGTCCGGAGCAGCAGCCTGGATTTCCTTGTACATGTCTACCTGTATGTCTTCGTACAAGGCGAGGAACCCCAATGTCGAGTTCCATATATGCGCCATCGTTTCTATCTCGCAAGTCAGAGGTTTGGATGCCCCAAAGACAAGCGGGAAGCTCACCATGTCCAGCGAATAGAAGGAAGAAAGTGTTGCCAACCTGTGTACGTTAGCAAGCGATCCACACGAGAAGACGGTAACTCACCAGCTCATCGTCTGACATAGTGAACTTCCCTTCCTGCTCCCTAGCGCGTACCATAAGGCTGACCACGTCTCGTCGCTTCGAACCTTCTCCGTCTTTTTCAGCTGAGAACGCCTGGCGCTGTTCGCGGATGAGCTTGTGCATGACGTCGCTCAAAGTCCTATGAGCCTTCTCGATCTGGTGTAACCTTGTTTACGTCAGAAACGAGCACCGCAGACAGCGAAGATGGGCTTACTGAGGTACAGGAAGCCAATACATCCAGCGCGGAGTGATAAGCCTCGCGATGCACGAGTCCATCACATGCAAAAGCGCGTCTCCGAATGCCATCTCCCCTTCTTTGGGCTTCTCTTGCTTCCATCCTAGTGGCACTCCGAAGGCACACCGCGACAGAATGATCAATGAGAACTACAACAGCTGCATGAGTGATATGCCAGGATGGGGGTCAATAGTCCACGCACCTTGTCGGTAAAAACCTTGACTGCTGGGAGGTCGACAGTGTTCTTAGCATCCCAGCCCTCCTCCGAGCACATTTCGTGATACAGTGATGACGTTTCTTCCCAAACCATATTATAACTGTGATGTTATGAGTCAGCGAGGATCACGACAACGAGAATGGGTGCTCACGTTTCGGTTGTAAAAGCGGGCCCCAGGATTCGTCGATGACGCTTCCACTCATCACCATTAGATGTGAAGATGTTGTGGCCGTATTGCCTACAAAGCGTGCATTAGCCTATCAGGTTTACACGGACAAGTATGGACGAACAAGACTGCCTGAGTAGCGTCCTCAGCCTTCAAGAACGGATTCTTGGTATCGAGAACTTCGCGGCTGACTTCCAAAGAAGACGTGTAGATGATGGGTCGGCCGAACAGGAAGGGTACGATTGCGACAGTCTCAGAGCCATATCGTTCGTATACTGAAGGTAGATGTCAGCAAATCGCCCTAGTATATCGATGCAAGGTGCTCACTCCAGTTCCTCCATTCCCATTGGAAACACATGCCCGGGTTGAAACGAGACGTCGGAAGGAGCGACCCCAAGAGGGAGAAAGGTGCGCAGGGGACTGTCATGATGGGTATTCCTGCAACAGACTACGTCGCATCCTCAGCTTCGGCAGGAGCAACATTGTTCTCTGGAAGAGCGACTGACCTTGCAGCCATTCCGGTACTTGACGTATCGCGAGACCAAGAACACGCTGAGAAGCGCGTACAAGACAGTCGAGGAAGACATATGGCTTCAGCTATTGTGTTCGCAGGCGTGCGTTCAGGAGCTTGAAGTTTCTAAGAGGGAATGACCTTCAAGAATACAGGTAATAGATTACGTCAATGAATAAACTTACCCACCCTCGCCAAGATCACGGATCTGTGCAGAACCATCAAGGACTTGATCTTGCGGTGTGTCTGTGCGTCCACCACCTTGGTGGGGCTCCCGATTTAGTCCATACAGAAACTTTTACCTTCCGTAACGGCATGCACCGAGGGCGGTGTTCATTCCAGATGCCTATCACCGCTTGCGATACGCCCGGAAGCTGGAGATAAAACTTGGCCCATTCGAGCCTAAAGGATAACGATAGACGCCGTGGCGGATCTAAACGGATTTGGCGGACTTGAGCCTGATCACCCTCGATTTCCTCGATTCCACGCTTGATACTGTGAAAGGATGAAACCGCGTGATGGGCGACATGAACAGCTTGCCTTCGGTATCAGAACTTCGGATAAAGTGATGTGGGCAGCGCAGCGTGGTAGAGCGCGGTGAAAACTTGGAGTCGCTGGGTCGGCCCTTGCTTTTTCAGTATATTTGCACTCATTTGGTTCAAGCCCCTGAACCGTTCTCACACGTCAAAAGCTCAGTTCGCTATTCTTGAACCAGCACAGGCACGAACACGATTGCAGCGCACGCACGTAGGCAAACACTGCCAGATTCAGAACACCGTTCGGCGGATCAGGAAGCTGGCTATATCGAATCAGGGCATCATCACACCGCCCTCGCCATTCAGATGCTCACAATTGGGAAGCAGGATGAGCATGCAAATTGTAATGACCGCTACGGTGGAGCCAACCGGGCCATTGTATGCGCTGAAACGATCAAGTCATTTGGCCTGAATACCGCAAGCGGCGAGTTGGGGTAAAGCCATATACTAGGCAATGCTTCACGTGGGTTTCTTGCTTAGATATCTCAGTCTGTGCGCACCCTACCCTGATATTCCTCCTTCCAGACATTCGTTCGTTGGTCATGACTTCTCCGAACACGACCACACCTTCTGTCTCCATGCCCCAAATCGATCTCAATCCCACCCTCGGTGTGGACTTCATCGGGGTCGTCCTGGCTTCGATGTATGCACGCTTCGACTTTGATTGTTTCCTTGCTGACCCCTGGACTAGTCTGTACGGGATTACGACCCTTCAGACAATCTTTTATGTCAGTCACATAATACCTTCTCGTCTCTATCCCGACTCATCCAAAGTTCAGTACCGGACGTATCCAAAAGACCGAGCAGGACTGAAGCTTCTGGTTGTCGCTCTATGGTAAGTGGCATTTCACTGAAATGAGGGATTAACTTTACAACGTCGATCATCAGGGCTTTGGACACTCTATCACTAATCCTCGTCGCACACGGGGTATACACATACCTGGTGATCGACTTCGCAAATATAGAAGATGCGTCAGCGATTGTCTGGTACGTTCGCTCATCTTTCTCTGTGAACACGTAACATGCTCATCAACGATGCAGGAGTATTGCTGTACGTTGTATCCCACTTGAATCGCCCACACACACTGACTTTCGGATCGCTAGTCTGAGCCCATTGTAACTGTAAGGCACTATCACCATACTTCCCCCCTCGCATTGCACCTAACGTACCCATCTCTCAGTCGGTGATCGCGCTGACAGTCAACCTGTGCGTTACCTACATTTACGAAGAAAATTCCCGTCTGACACTTCCTCAGGTTCCTTATCTACCGTATTTGGAGCTGTAAGGCATCCTCATCCTACTTTATGACCTTGCCTGACGAAAACACCCGCCGCAGTAAAGAAGAAATGGTGGCCTATCACTATATTCTTGGTGAGGCATTGATCACACATAAGTTGTTGATTTCTTGCTCAATGGTCTTTGTCAGGTGATATGGGCACTGGGCCCCTTTGGTAAGCCTACATTGTGCGGCTATCCCTAGAACAGCTTACTGAGGCTCAATACCTATCTAGCCATTGGCATCGGTAAGCCGTGTTCACTATCGTAATTGCTTTCGCTAATGGTGCCTCAATCCAGTCGCGGTGTGGAGAACGTGAGTTCAGAAGAGCTTCGCTTAGGGGATAAAGAGCTGAAGTTAGAACAGGAATTCGGGAATCCAATCCTTGTCTGCCGTCTCTGAGCTTCACGTACGTACATTCTCATCTCCGCCGCTCCAAAGCTCATGCATACATGACACGGCAGTGGATGGCAATCGCTGCCGACTCGCTTGCTAGCTCGCTTGATATCACAATTTCCTTGACTCTGTGCTATCTGCTTTGGCAGGGAAGAACTGCCTTTACGTCGTGAGTGCTCATGTCCTTGATTGCTCTTTCCAAGAGTAACGCACTAACCGCGTCGATACATCAGGACCAACCAGATCATTCAAACGCTCACCTTATACGTGATCATGAGCGGAATGACCACCGCGTACGTCCGCCAGCGACTCGATCGCATCCCTCTCAAAACGCCGCTGCTAACTCATTTGCATTCTGACAGCTTGATCAACTTGGCGACGCTCATAAGCTACCTCGCCGCGCCATCCACGCTCCTGTTCCAGATGTTCAACATGTGCGTCTCAAAAGGTAAGCTCGCTTCCTATCTTTGTCGCCATTCACCAACTCATGTTCGCTCCGCTTCGCGCTCGCCTCACATGCCTTAGCATACGTCAATACTCTGATGGCAACGTAAGCGTTTCAGCATCCACTATATGACACTATTCGGCGCTAATCTATCACCGCCCCAGCCTCAACTCACGCCAATCAATCCGGGGAAAGCCCAGCCAGTCCATCTCGGGGCTCACAGGGAGCAGCGCAACCGCAAATATATTCCCCACGTTCAGAGCCGCGACGCGCTCGCAGGCGCAGGACGGCGATGTGGACGACTACGCTTTGGTGCGTATTCATCTCGTCATCACTGAGGTCATGCATATGGCTGACGTGCATGCGTTTTCTGCGTGTTACAGCACCCGCACAAGAACTCTCGCGATGCGCCGGTTGTCACGTACTCGACCACCTTGGCCTCAACTGGGCGCTCGAATAATGTGCGAACTTTGTTTCATATCTGGTTCATACTCTTGGTTTCTGATCAGAATTCAATTCACAGGGAGGAAAGTCGTCGGATCAGTCCTCAGCGCATTACAGTGATGTCTGATGCTTTCGTGACTGCATCACGGCCAGGTCGCGATCGCGCTGTTTTACACTCGTTTTATCATGACACGTTTGTGTACTTATTTATCAAGGTTTTGCATCTGTGTATGGATCTGTTCGGTTACCCTAATCAAGAAGGCTTGACGCCACATTAGCGCTGAGTGATTGAGTTTGCCTTGCGGACTTTGACTTTGGCGCGGAGCGCCCATGAGCGCTCACTGGAAGATGTTTTTGTCTTTCAAACTTGTCGATAAGCTGATTCCTCATGTTTGCAATAACATAATGTGACTCTACAAGCGCGAGCGTTTCAAAACCAGACGATCCATTGTCCTTACGAAAAAGGCTTATCTACGACTTCTGCGCCCCAGCGGTCTCCACGAGCCAATCGACAACCATGGCCGTGACAGGACTCAATGTCTTCGACTTGGCAGCCACGTCAAAGATCATATCCACATGCACCCCACCGGGCTGCACCTCGACGCGCACATCCTCGTGTGCGGCGCTCAGCATGTCCGCGAGGCTGAGCACATCGTCGCGCAGGACCTCGTCGTCGCCCGCGGTGACGAGCACGCGACGTGTGAGCGCCTGCACGCCGCTGTACCACGTTTCGCGCGGCGCTGTGGTGCAGTCGACGTACGGCAGCTGCGAGTCGGGCAGCTGCACGCGGTACGCGCGGCCCCACATGGCGAGCGTGTCGGCCGTGACGAGGTCCTTGTCGGTGTTGGTGTGCGTCGATGCGCCTGCGGGCTCGAGGGCGCACCAGGGCGAGAAGAGGAGGGTGCCTGTGATGGGGGCGGAGAGCGAGGTGGGCGAGGGGAGGGACGGGTGCGGGTGGAGGTGGTGCGAGAGGAGCTGGGTGATTATGTTCGCGCCGGCGGATTCGCCAGCGAGGAAGAGGTGGTTTGGGGAGGTGCCTTGAGCGAGGATGTGCTGGATGGCTGTGGAGAGCTCGAGCAGTTGGGTCGGGAACGTGTGTGGTATTAAGGCTGTTCGAGTGTTAATGCTTTGTTCAGCTGAAGGCAAACAATGTAGACTTGCAGTAATCGAGGGCAGCAACCGCCAACGTAGCACCATTGCTCTTCTTCGCAAACTCAGTGGCGACTATCTCACTAAACTTGCACTGGAAGTCGCACAAAGGCCCGACAAAGCCGCCACCTAGTCATCCAGAGCCGATAAGCACACGCTTGCCAAGATACGGGCTTAAACGGACGTACCATGGCAGTAAAGGAGAACAAAGTCTGCGTTCTTGTCGCCCATCCAAAACAGCTTCGTGCCGCCTTCGAGGCTCTCGATAACGGGCTGCTGGTTGGCTTGCTTAGCCCACGCAAGATACGCAGCAGTCGAGGTCCCAGAGATGCGCTGGAGCTGTTGTATGGAGACATTGCCGAGGACGTGTCGCGAGGAGGCCTCGAACACGACACGGTTGGTTGGTTTGGCGGACTTGGAAAAGTTGGACGCAACGGCCTTCCATAAGAGCACGAAGGCTAATGGCAGGTGGTCAGGTCGACAGTTATTGTTTCGAGGAGGAATGGGAGGAACATACGCATGCGGATGATGATCCATGTCAGCGACGCCGACTCGAGAAAGCTGAGTATGGGCAGGCCGTCCTTGTCATACTGGTACTGGCGCGTAGTGCTCATAGCGAACTGAGATGATTCAAAGGGCGGGCGAGGCGTAAGAACATAAACAAGAAGAGTCGCGTGAAGGCATCAGGGGTGGCCATGTGGGCTGGGTGCAACAATAGGAAGTTGAGCTTCCTTGCAGGCTGTGGTGGTTTCAATCGAACATCCGACAAAACGCGGCGACCAGGGTCTAGGCAAAGGTTCCGAGCCGAGCCGTAGGCTCTGTTATCACCGGCACCCACGGCCCTTTCCGGTGATCTACACAAGACACGCCGAGCTACGCTCCGGCACTTTCTATCAAATTTAGCATATATATTATTGGGCTCGAGCTCACACCGCTACAAAATATCATAATTTATCCGAGGGCTTAACTGAGGACAAAAACGCACCAAAGATAGTTGCACGTATCACCAGCAAGTGTCATTCTACCACGTTCAGGATTTATTCGGGATAAACATCGCAGGCCAAGATCAAAAAGGAAACCCCCATATCAAAACGTCAAACAAAGGTCAACAAAAGCCTACCATAATTTTGAAGATACGAGTTATCCGCCGTCACCGCTGCGCCGCACTTCTTCCACCCAACCCCAGGACGCCCCTTCACCAAGATCATCGGTGTAAGTAAAGCTTAGCTTCCATACTTCCTCCCAGAGCGCCCGCCGATTGCGAGCTTCTGGAGATTCTGATTGATGGAGCTAACCATAGCTTTCAGGAACAAAACACACACACCATCGTGGCTCGGCTCCAAGGAATTGTACTGCCCTCCAGTCCTCCACCGAGAGATCATCGATCTCGATCACCGCTCAGCACAACTCGTGGGTTTTGTAGCATGATTGACTACGCCTGAACTGACGTACTGATCGTATCGGCGAACACAGTCATTTCACAGCTTTGACAATGATGGACAAATCTTTTGACGGGTACACCTCTGATACTTAGCCGCGCTGATAACGGTCAGTCGCAGCAATACTCTATCTCAGTGCAATCCACCTGACCGTTTGCAATTGCAATGATGGACACGCTCAAGAATGCCTACTCTTCAATACCATTTGCGTGGCTTTGCCTCGCAGTCAGCTCTGTGACTCTCGTCTACTACCTCGTCTCCGAACTTCGACCACCATGCCCAGTGGAAGACGACTTTCCTACGAAGCGCAGAGACCTATTCCTCGGCTCGTTCGACTTCTTTCGGGATAGCTTCAAGTTCTTGCTGAGTTGCAGAGAGTGGGCACAAGGGGCGCACATGGGCTTCTACATACTTAGCGTGAGCTTTCATTCGTTCCCCTTCGAGTCTTTCGTACCCTAACTTCTTATGCTTGCAGCACCGAGTTGTCATGGTTCGCGGGCTCCCGGGGCGCGACGTCTTCTTCTCGAAAGGTAGGCTTCTTTGTCAGATATATGTTTACCCAAGCTCATCGGCACCAGGTCTCGATTTCATGGCCGGATATCGGTTGCTGGTGAGCTCGTTGTTACAACCCATGAATGGTTTCAGCTTAAGCGCGTCGTGCAGAATCCACAACTCGTTGATGTTATGCCAGTCACTGAGATCAAGGGCGACGAGAGCTGGGCAAGTTTCATGGCCACGTTCATACGCTCTGAGGTCCTCGACAAACGTACGTGTGTTTGCATCTCCCGGTCACCTTTAGCTCATACTGCTACTTTCTGAAGTTACTCCAACGATGGTTCAAGACATGGCAAACATCGTGGACGCGTGGGGCGACAAAGGGACTGTCGATCCCTTCGATGGAGTCTACGAGGTGCGTACAGATCTGAATGACGCCGGCTCATAGTTCTCAGCTTCACCACTACAGATCATATTCGCCCTTTCCATGCGTCTCGCTACATGTAACGAGTTCTGCAGCGACCGCGAGAAGGTCCGCACTATGATGCGCATCTTCCAGAGGCTGGAGGATGGCTCTACCCCTGCGTCGATTATACTGTCATGGGTGCCGACACCATCACGCATGCGCCGTCTATGGGCAGGAGGCGAACTGTATAAGATGATCAGCGATGTCGTCAGCGCTCGCAAGCGTGAAAACCGACGCGAAGACGATCCATTGCAGGCTTTGATCGACAAAGGGTTCAATCTTGTCGAGATTACAAGGGTAAGTCCGATTCTCTCGTTTGGAAACAGTTGACTAAACGATGGTCTAGTTCATTGCGATGACCCTGTTTGCCGCAGTGACAAACACCGGCAATGTCTTCTGCTGGTTCCTCATCTACCTCGAGCTGCACAAGAAATGGAAATCCTCGATCCTGTCCGAGATCGACGCCTTCGTCGAGACTCACTCCTCAGTCTCGCGTTCGACTTCCCCCTTCAGCACCAGCACCATCGCCGAAGCCCTCTCCCGCGCGGGCCCCGACGCACTCGAAGCCGCCACACCCACACTCGACGCGACACTGCACGAGACGATCCGCATCGTCTTCAACGGCTTCTTCATGCGCCGCAACATCGGCTCCGCGCTCTCGCTCGACGGCCGGCGCATCCCGCACGGCGCGTTCCTCATGTTCCCCACCGCGGACCTGCACTTCGACCCCGCGCTGTTCCCCGACCCGCACGCGTTCGAGCCTGCGCGGTTCACGCCAGCGGCGATGGAGGCGCGCCGCGCGGAGCACGGGATCGCGTTCTTGGGCTGGGGCGCGGCGCGGCACCAGTGTGTGGGGAAGCGCGCGGCGCTGGTGATGATGAAGATGATCACGGTGATGCTGCTCGCGCGGTTTGATATGGGCGTGGTCGACGGGCGCGGGCGGACGCTTGTGGAAGTGCCGAAGCCCCGGCAGGACACGCTGTTCAAGGTGTCGCCGACGCTTACGAGGACACTGTTGACGTATGAGGTTAGGAGGGATGCGTGATGTGCCGTAGATTTATTGTTAGCCTCAATGGTGAAACGTTGATGACTTGTTATCGTATTTATTCCAAATATCACTTGTGTAGCACTAGCGGCACCGAATGGGACAAGGATACTTTACCGCACTTGGCCAGTGTCGTATCTGGACAAAACGCCGCCTACGTACTCGGTGGCGTTTGCGCTGACAGATGTCCACGCCCAAAGTCTAATAGTTTGAGCTGCGCAGGCCGGACTTGACACGATGAAACCCGAACCAAAAACTCCTTCAGAGCGCGCCAATGCAGCACAGCGGCTGCACACATGCGTGAGCATCGTGAGAATCCGAGTAAGCTCGCGAAGTCCCCCTGCTGCTGGCTTAGCATCTACCACTTAAGGCATCTCCCCAGATCTACCCACACTCGCCGAGAATTCTTTGTAGCATCTAAATTGGCTACTCGGCACTTCTTCGCGTGTGCAGAAGTGCTGCGCCTATGTGGACGATACAGTCAGGAGTCCGAGTCTGGGCAAAGAAGCGCTGAAGCTGGCTAACGCGGCGCACCGCCAGCGCCGGTGGTACTAGCCTGGCCCACGCGTGGAGTGGGCAGACAGTAAGCACGGGGTACTCAATCGAACACGCCGCTTCCTTCATAACGCTTCGCGTTGGCAGGTAGGTATCCTGCACTTCAAAGTGCGCGCACCCATGACTCCGGAGCCAAAGACAGCGGTCGGCATAAACCCAGTGGTGGTGGTGACAGGTGCGAACAGGTGGGTAGGCTCTAGTCTGATGGCACCCTCGGTGCCCACCAGTACTGAGTTCGCGGCTGATTGCATGCGACAGGGGTGTGGGGTACGGCATATGTCTGCGGTTCCTCCGACAACTGTGTCTCCCAGCCCCTCCTGACGCGTTCCTCAAGAGCGACGGTGGCGCGCCGAAGGAGCTGCCTAACAGCCACTGGCTTACACGTGTTGGAAAGGTCACAATTGTCATGGCGTGCCGAGATATCGACGCCGGCAGCCGTGCTAGAGAGAAGCTGGTGAAACAGTTTGAGGCTGATGTTGTTCGTCATGCGCGGGCTCGCTCGAAGATGGGGAGAGATGGAATGCCGGAAGTCGATGTCGTTGTGCGTGAGCTCAATCTGGGTATTGCAAGCAGTGTGTTTGAGTTTCTCGGCTGGCTGAGGCAGACGTGAGTAGGGATCCTTTGAGCTGTGATATCACTCAGTAACTAACGTATGTTCAGGTACCCGCACGTTTCGCATCTTGTCTGCAACGCTGCAGTAGCACCATTCATTGGTGTCGACAATACTCGAGTGATGGCACAGTATCGCAATAACTTTGCGAAAGCGTTCATTGCGCCAGACTACTTGATTCAGCGCACAGGTGAGACCAGCCAGGACGGTCTTGGGCTCGTATGGCAATGCAATTTCTTCGGACACTACATGCTGGTACGTGCTCCTGAGCGAGTCAGATGAGTGGCGCACACTGATCATATTGTAGTTTCGAGGGATGCACGAGCTCTTCTCGGCCTTTGCACAAACAAGCGGACGACAAGCGAGGGTCGTATGGATGTCGACGCTCGCGTCGATGCCAGAAGACTACAGCTCGGATGACTGGCAGCTCTTGCGCACCAGACAGCCGTACGAGGGCTCCAAATACCAGATGCAGCTCGTGCGCAACCACTTCAGCTCTGGTGATCTCGACCAGTTCGAAGATAGCCGCTCTGAGACGACTCAGAAGACCGCCTCACACTCAACCAGCGAGCCGTTCCACCTGCTGGTTCAGCCAGGGGTGGTCGCGACGAAGCTCGATCCGCTGAACAGCAGTGGAGCCGCGGCTGCTGTTCGTAGCGCTACGTTGTTTTTGGTGAGCTCGACTGCCAGATCTGCGAGGTGCGTAGTTGACTCACCTTGGCCTTCTGATAGTGTCGCCTGTTCGGGTCCACCAATCATACGACCGATCCGTACAAGGGCGCGATATCCGCTGTACACGCTATGCTGGTCGACATACCTCCAGTGTTGTCCTCTGCAGGCGACACGGCGTCCATGTATCCATCCTTGAAGAGTAACGTCAAGCTAAGCTCAAAGTCAGCTTTGATGCGCAGGGAATACGTGGCTGTGGCGGAGTGTAGCGAGGAATGGTCTAGGTCAGAGATGGAGAAGGCCAGTGGCTTGGTTGAGCACTGTGATGAGCTTTACCAGACCTTGTTGCAGTCGTTTTCTCGTTAGATATGTATCATAATAGCAGAAACTCTACATATGGACTGTTGTATTACTGTTGTTTCTGTTTCCAAACTTTCCTGTATAGTATTTAATGATGTGGCTTGTTCAGGACACAGGAGCGCTAGGATCCCATGGGACTCTTCGTCGTCTCTGTCGACACTGGCTCACATGATGTTGAATTCGCTTTCGGCACCTGGGAGTCTAATGAAGTTCTAGATAGTGGTCAGCGGTACTAGTGTGATGTTGATCTGGGAATGTCAGAACATGATCAGCGTAGCCTGAGATGTGGATTACGTCTGGACTCGGGAAGCCCAACAGGCCTGAAAATATCTCAACGAACACTCCGCTTCGCACGGAGTTGTGCGCTTGTCCCGCGGCGTCGCGGCGATCAGATTGACACCCGATGTGAAGGAGCTCCTGTTCCAGCGCTTGCGGCGGCCAACAGCGTAGCTGCGAAGGTTTGAGTTTCCACGATATGGGAGGCTCTATACCTGAGCCGTGTGCTGTGCGTTGCGAGAAGCTTTGATTAAAGGGACAGTGATCGCAGCTTGTACTAAGAAGCCGAGACATATGAAGCTTTGAAGTTCCGCTGGACATGTATTTATCGCTGTTTGTCGAACTGAGATGGCAACTCTGTCACCAAGCCTGCCACGAAGCTCAATTGCGGCGCTGCTGTTGTTCCCAATCTGCGATCGACCTGGTTCGATCGGGGTCCAGGGCGGTGATGTTCGCTTCTATCAGCGCTCACTTGGCGCCCTCTCAGCTGTTTCGAGCTATGAACGTGGATTTCTGTTCGGTGATGATCACAGTGCAGAAGTGGGGCCATTCGCCTGTGCGTTTACCCCAGGCTGTACGTCTCCTATACCCTGGGCAGCGCTTTGGAACTTGACTAGATTCACTCACAAATACTCTGTTGGTTCCGTTACTCAGACAATTGATCCCTCGGTATGTCTTCAGGATCAGTGTCAGGCTACAAGGCCACGGAGAAGGAGCTCGCTCCCCAATCCTCGAGATCGAGTGCAACCCAACCCGGTTTCGCGTTGGAGGTACGCGATGCTCCAGAAGACTCGCGTTATGTCTCGGGAAAGCAGCTACTATTGACCTTCATGTACGTCGTTATCTTGACCTCGTTTCATCGACTGACCCATCTACCAAATCCAGCGGACTTTTTATGGCCGTTCTCCTGGTGACGTTAGACCAAACAATAGTATGTGGTCAGCTGCATTGTGTGTAACTCATCTCGTCAACTCATATTCTTTCCAGGTTGCAACCGCACTTCCACGGATAGTGTCCGACTTCAACGCCCTCGGAGACATCACATGGATTGTCACGGCCTGTTGGTGTCTTTCTTACCCTGACCTTCTTTTGCGATGCTGACAATTTGATAGACTACTTGACGCAAGGCGGCTGTATGCTAATCGTCGGCCAGATACTCAAGCTGTCTCGCAAGAAGCTCGTGTTCCTCGCGTCTATCGCCATCTTTGAGGTCGGGTCGCTTATATGCGCGCTCAGCAAGTCAATTCCTGTCTTGATCTTTGGCCGAGCGATTGCTGGATGCGGAGCTGCAGGGTAAGGATCCTATCTCACTTTTGCTCGCGTACCCTTCCTCACTACGACTGAAGGATTCAGATATCCGTCTCGACCATTATGCCCGATGTGTGTAACATTCAGCATCTGGTTCATAGCCTTGGGGTACTCACGCATGTTCAGATTACACCCCTAGAGAAACGCCCCATCCTTTTCTCAGCTTTTGGTGGTGTCATTGGACTGTCTACAGTTGCAGGGCCCTTACTTGGAGGCGCATTCACAGGTAATACCACCATCATCATGTCTTTCTTCTACTGTGCTAAAAGCTATACCTTAGACGATGTAACATGGCAGTGGTGCTTTTGGAGTGAGTGACCTGTCCCGTAGATTGTTTGCTGTGCTAATATCCATCGATGATTGTAGTCAATCTCCCGGTATGGTCACCAATACTGTTATACTCGTGGATTGATAGCTGACACAGTTTGCAGTGTGGCGCTTGTGCGGTTGCTTTGGTCCTGCTCTTCCTCCCGAACCACCCTCCGGCTGTCTTGTTTTCGAGAGGTCTGTTACAGACATACTTGGGGTGCGAATTTCCGCTGGGTGTTGATCTGGCACGCTCTGACGCACGCTCAGACTCGACTGGCTGGGCATGATCCTGAACATTGGATTCTTTACGTGTCTTTTGCTCCCTCTGCAGTGGGGCGGCAATGTCAAACCGTGGAACAGCCCATCTGTTATTGCACTGTTCGTTGTATCTGCGGTGCTGTTTGCTGCTTTCATCATATGGGAGCGATACAAGGGAGAACACGCCATGATTCCGCTCAATGTTGTCATGCGGCGAACTCCTCTGGGGGCTGCGATAGTCTCTGTAGGTCTACGTTATCTTGAACATCGCATCATTGAGTTTCTGAACCGTTTTTCAGTTCTTCAGTTACGTTTTGTTGATGGTGGCGACTGTGAGTGCCTTTTGTCCGCCCTCAACACATCAATACCTGACGTCGTCTACTCGTGCCAGTATTACCTACCGCTTTGGTATGGACCTGCACTAATAGGCATACATCGTGCTGACTACTCGAAAGGTATCAGTCTCATGGGAGCGATGCAACGCGCTCTGGACTCAATATTCTTCCTCTTCTTGGAGCAGTCATCATCGGTGAGCCCAGCACGTAACATGTTGCTTCTCTGAGTAACACTGTTCATAGCTGCCGCAGTGGTCGGAGGCGCTACTACAGTATGTATTCATTCATCAAAATCCACCGGCGTCGGGTTACCAATTGGATTGTAGAGCACTGGGCGTTACTGGTGGTTCCTTCTCCTTTGTCCCCTCCTTTCCAGTATAGGTGCAGGGCTGCTGTACACGGTAACGTCGACGACACCCAACGCGCATATCATTGGATTCCAGATTATCTTTGGGGTGTGTACTCGTTTCTTATGCACGTGTTGTATGTTTACACCTGTTGCAGGCTGGAGTGGGAGCGATATTCCAGACTGTGTTGATCGCCGTTCAGGTAAGGGTTCTGCTTCTGAAGCTTATATGCGCAAACTGATTTCATCTCTGCGCGAAGGCTGAATACGCCGACAATGAGGAGATGATCCCACAAGCAACGTCTTTTGTGGTGAGTTTCATCATGTAAAGCGACTCGGTCTCGTGCTCACGATCACCACAGAGCTTCACCCAGATCCTAGGGGGGATCGTGAGCATAGCGTAAGCCCTCGGCGTACGATCCGTGTGTAATTGTGTGGCTAAACCTTCGCAGTATAGCGGGGAGCATATTCGCGAACGAACTCCGCAGCAATCTGCCCAGTGACCTGCCATCGGAGCTCCGAGAGGGGATCCTCGAGAGCGTCACGGCCATATCCGCACTCACCGAACCTACGAAATCGGCCGTGCTCGCGGCATACTCGCGGAGCCTCGACCCCGTGTTTGTGATGGGCGTTCCAGCTGGGATATGTGCATCGCTGGCTGCATTGTGCGTTATGCTCTTTCGGCTGTTTTAGCGTGTCACTGTTGCTCACTTGGTCGACCTAGGCTGATTGTGAACTATAATCTCAAAACTCGGGCTGCAGCTGCTGTGACACAGTCTGCGTAGACGTTGACGCTCATGTGAATAGGACTAGGGGTTTCTGATTGTACATCTATTTATTCTCTTTGATGAAATAACCAACATCCTTATGTATCACACACGCGGTCACATCCATGGCAAGGCCAGTTCTGCATAGCGCTCACATCTGAGATCTCAGGGCACAGCACGTTCGATATTCACCCTAATGAGTGAGAAAAGACATGATACACGTTGTTTTGTACATTGATGTAAGAATCTCACTGCCCAAGAGCATCACACGCCGGCCTCGCTATGAACAATCAAGTTGTTGTAAATGCGAGATTACTGCTTTACACGTCCGCATCCTGTGGAATTAGCATCAACATTAGGATCGTGGCCATTATTGGGTCTCATGAACTGCCGTAGAGCAAGCAACGGAGGAAGCGAGCGAGCGATGCCGAGGAAGCTGTGGGACTTCTTCACAGTCACGTCTCTGCATCTCTACGCCATCATGAGCGTCGTAGTCAACCAAGATCTCGCCCTCGTTGGTACCCCTCCGGTAATTAATCCTGCTGAGCTCACTGTTGCTCAGCAGCCATGAGGCGTCCACGTTGAGTCTAGCGGCAAGGCTTCGAACGCTAAGGAGCGCGTGGCAGATTGCGACTGTGATGAGCGATTGATAAAGGCTGCAAGGACATGAGTTGCAATGTCAGTGACGTATGGATTCATCACATACAAGGACTGATATGCTGGAATGTAGTTCTGTGGTGAGAGGCAAAGGTAATCAGCAACGACCTTGAAAGCTAATATTAGTAGTGACAAGATCGTACCCATGGGTCTTTCATACTTGTACCAATGATAGTGTAGAGCAATACAGCTTGCAGTCAAAAGTACGTCAGGGGAAGGTTACTAACATGTAATGTATATACTAGTCGTACCTGTTGCCACCAGATACATTGGTGCACCCCTGTGGATGAAGTAAGAAAACCAATTACTGAAATCAAGCATGTCAAAGCTTACTCTTTGACAAACCGCTTTGCGAGCGGTACAAGTCCCTTTCTCTCCACACTCGCGACAAAAAGCCAGATAGTGAAGCAATAGAGGATCACATGGAGGATTAATGCGGACAAGAAGTCGAGATAGAGGGACTTCGAAAGCGTCATTCCGCAGGCATCAGCGGTGACAGCGCTATTTGACGTAACAGCCGAAGAGATGTTGCTGTTTCGTAATGTTGCAGCAGCCGTTGTGGCAGCGCACGCAATGTACAGAGCCACGAGGATGGCTTGTACGACGTTATTGCGCCTAAAGAGGTACCACACTCGAAGCGTTATGGCAGCTATAGGAGTCAATTTGCAATCTCTGTTTAAAAGAGGGTGGGCGAACCTTGGCCAATCAAAGTATTCACGATGCTGATACCGATGAGGGCCTTATCGAGATGCAAGCACCTAAACCGGGTTCTATGTGAGTTTGAGTGCTCCCATGTGCTTGACCTCACTTACGTCTGGTACTTCGAGTCAGTATACTAGTAGATTAGATGCGAGAAGATGCAAGCTTACTTCACTGGAAGCAATCCCTCCCATAGACACTGAGCTTAGGAGTCAGTGTTTTCCGCTCTCCAAATCCTCGTCTTTGATTCTGCTTACCAATAGTAACCAAACTTATATACACAAGACGTTCTCAGAAGTTTCTTACTGGTAGGTGTATAAGTACTCACATGACACACAATAACACGGTATAGCGTATCTGCATGCACGAAAGCATCGACTGGGAATGACATGCTGTCACTGCGCGAAGGGTACTTTACTCACCAATATGTAGATAACGCTCGAAATGTTCCAGCTGCGAGACCAGAAGTACTCGACCTAACGAATGTCATTGTCACCACACTTTATCAAGAGCAACAGGATGTCACCAACCTCCTGGTCCAATGTAATGATGTGATCATAACACGCAAGGGAAAGAGACGCCATAAACAGCTGCGAGCCGCGGTAAGCAGCCTCGATGTAGGGGAGATCCACTGGGGAGACGTCGGAAGCCATTGAAGCCTATCGGGGAGGAAGAGGAATGCTGCGATAGCCCGGAAAGGGTGGCCCAGTCGGAGTCCTAAGTCAAGGCAAGGTCACCTACCTTTACTAAGTAGTACGGTACTTGGTGGCAATGTGAGCGCCGCATTTGATGCAAATTTGAAAGGACTTGCCTAGTCTTGCCCAAAGCCGTCCATAGGCGCGTCTGATTGCTAATATCACTGACGAGATGGCAAGCGATTTTTGGATATGAAGAAAGCTGTGGCCTATGTATGCCGCGTGATACGGAAGAGCGCTCGGCCGGTAACAGTCAACCAAAACCTGATGGAGGCCTGCTATGGCGGTACTGCGTGCATTCCTGAGAGCATGAAGTGGGTCAGCGAAGAGATCAACATGCATGAGAGTATTACTTTACTGTACAGTCATCCAACAATCTCCAAAAGCACCCTTCACGATCTGATAATGGCAGGCACTGCTGCCTTACTACATGTGCCGCAATACATGGTTCACATGAGCACGAGATTAGAAGCTTGTGGTACACCGCCGCTAGATCAAAATAGCCTCATTGCCAACTCGGCGATCAATGTGTTTACCTGTTTGTGAAAGCGATTATTCCCATCATATCGGGAAGAGAGCGTATCAGCCAACGGGGATGCTGAAATGCCCTGCCTTGCCGGCGGTGCACTGGCCTCACCGACATTGACGGCGCCAGCATTGTTATCCGACGCGAAGAATGCGCAACAAGCCGAGAGAGCCGGAGCAAGTAAAACGATACTGTATTATCGACAAACGACATAGTGTATAGCACTATTAGCGCATGCTCCCACGGTGAGGAAATGCGTGTGAGAGTCATCCACGTATAATCTTCCAACTTTCGATCACGGGGTTTCTGAGAAGAGATAATGAAAGGGAAGAGAAGTCGGGGCTCACAACTGAGGCCAACTTGAAGCACATGATGTTGATCGCCATCGCATTCTGCTGGTCGTCCGGAGATGCTCGCACGTACGCCTGGTGGGAGAGCGCGTACTTCTTCTGAAGTCTTCCGATGAGTCACCGACAATGATGCTATCGGATGGTTGCGGCTCACAGGTTAGAGCAGTTCGAGATCTATCAGCTCAACGAGTATGTGCCATCCATTGCTGCTAACTAACGCCGTGTCGGTTGATGATCTACACCCGAAGCGATATCAATAGAGTATCCGTTGTAATAAGGAGTCTAAGATGGAGACTGTGCACTAAAGACAGATACGTACTGGAGGATTTGCTAGCAGCCAAATATTGGCTATAGCTTAGCTAACGCCTGGTGAGACCTATGAGCGTCGAAGCGGTCAGAGTTAACTGTTATGAAAATTTAGTCCTAAAACATACTGGAAGACAAGCACACAGAGAAGTTTTGCAACGAGGCTCACCGTACGTGGTTCCTCTTAGGCCTAGCTTGGAAATAGATCAGTGGGTCCCTCGCCATCATAATATTCGCATTGGTTGACTTTGATTCCGGTATAGATATAGATGTATAGGGAAGGTTAAGTCGTGATCCTTCCTCAGGGTCAGGTTGTAAGTGCAAGGGAGCACAATGAAATCTAATGGCGAAGAGCAATAGGAGAAATTTAGAGGTTGGGCCCGGAGTATCTTGCGAGACGCGCGTCGGCCGATGTCGGAAAGCTTCCGAGGGCCGGGATCCGGCCATCGGCGTTCGGACCGAAGACTAACTTCAAGTCCGTTACAGAAATTTGGAGGATAGTCCCCCGTCACTCCCACTTGACCATAATCATATTATTCATATCTATCAAAATCCTTCATAACACCGCGTCCGGTTAAGGGAGCTTGAACGGCATTCGACACATTCGCTAGACATCCATCAGGATCCAATGCAAAGTGACTTGGGAGCCATAATATAGACACTAAACCTGAAACAGCAAGTGATAGCAAACACGATAAATATGCTAAATTACGTATTTTGAATCTCAAGGTGGGCTAGGTTTAGAACGGTAGCTGGAAGTCCTTTGATTACACAGCTGTAGGATATCCACCCATATCGTCACTCGCGCGCTGCGCGACAGTCGACTTTTGCGAACGCTGACGAGCACAGTCTGTAAGCGGATAGTCCTGACCAAGGGAACATTATGCTCACTAGGCCGTAATCCGTTTGGCCTTGTATACTCGACACTCCAACAATACGCGATGAAGAGCGTCCATTAGATGGGGCTGTCAGCTCGTATATCAGCTCTGATGAGGGTTCTCGGATTGATTGGCGCGCGTTGAGACTGAGTCGTGAATGTTAATAAAGTATCCGTAGATGAGAACAGGTGGTGCTTACGTTGCCATTAGGGTTATAACATATACTGCATAACGTAAGCGTGAATAAACAAAATCATTATGGAAAGCCTTACCGCTTGACATACACATTTCGAACATAAGGTACAGAAGTGTCGTCTTTGACGAGAAATACGCGATCAGGCTAGCCCATTCTACCACCCTATCGGACCCGTCACCGTCAGCCACCACGGCCAAGTCAGGGACAGATGGTAACGCGCTTACGCGACGGACAATCCACTCGTAATAACATAGACTGTGAGTGATTGGATGATTTTTCCGGTTCTGCATAGGAGGATCGAGAACAGTCTACAGCGACCACCAATAGCGACTCACGATTTAAACCCGGTGGCACCTTGCCTCAGAAGGTAACAGAGGGCGGCTGCAACGACAAGGTTAAATGAGCTCTCCAAAGAGAGCGCGACTATCATTGTCCACTGTGAGGTAAGTTAGCCCCGGCACAGCAATCCCGTGGCGAGCTTACGCCGAGGTTTCCGCCAAAATTAAGGGTCGACTTTTCCTTGTTCCTGGTTTTCCGTTCATGAACATCGCATCGATGAGGTCAAGCTGTGGACGTACATTCGCCAAACAGTATCTGGGATATTGTTAGCGCTGCTTTTCATACTCTGTGTATGGTCTGAAACTTACACATGGAAATGGCTTCATGGTAGCGAAGACGTATAAGCGGAGAGATCGCAAAATCCAAGTATTATCTCACCAAAAGGAGCGAGCTCCCAAACAACCTTGGAGGAATGAACTGTTGCGCTTTCAAGTATATAGTCCCACTTACGAGCAGTGTCGCCAAGGGCCACCAAGTCCTTCTCACTTCATGCCGATATGACATTAGGATCTCCCTTCGAAAAGGATGACGAAACACTTACATATCCAGATACGATATACCAGAAATCTGTGGCAACAAGGTTCAGAATGACCATGCATTTTGATCGTGGAGGTACTCACAGGTTTACAGCAAGCGCGATCACCGCCTGTCCATCAGAGTAGGGTAATACTGAGCAAAAGTAGTCTAGAAGCAACATGTTCCTTACCACGATGGCAGGTTCGTTCTAGGGGGATAACGTACGTCAGACCATGACTAACACCCAGTAACAAGATTCTTTACGCACATAGATACCCCTAACGTACGATCGCCATCAGCCATACGTAATAAGACCAGATAAATGTTGAACACACCAAGGGACGTCAGCGAGAAGGAGAAGCTGTGCATAATCGAGGACTAGCCAGGTGTAGAGTCCAGATGCTTTGAACGCCAGTGATGTGGTATTTAGGGACCTGTAAGGGTTTTACGCTTAGAGTGCATACGATGGTGATGCTTCTCGACTCACCACAAGACTCCAACCTGACGCGACATAAGTCACACTTCGTAACAAGAGGATGATACTTACCAAGAACTTCAGCGATAGTCGATCATTGGGATACGTCCGATACTACGTCATATCTTATGAAGCGCGCCTCCATCGATATGATCCAATCAACTCACGTAGAATACCGTCTGTAGCGCTGTGAACCCATAGAGACTGCGCAGCATGAGGTGGATAATACTCCAAGCAAGCAGGCGTGCACATACATTGACGCAAGAACCACCCCGACAAAGGCCAGCCCAAGAGTGGGTGTGAGGTTGATCTGCGGCAGAGCAGGAAGCAGGGAGGGTAAAGAATCTGTGGAGTTCATGGTGCAGTACTGGCAGCAATCGCCGGCTTGGACAAAAGAACACCTACTCGGGGATCTCAGCGAGGCACTATATTAGCTAGCCAATGGGTATGGAGCGCTGTACTCACGGGCTGTAGCTACGAACTCGATGCGGATGCAGTGCCTCAGTCCGTCCAGCGGCCCAGCTACCTCCAGCTAGTGCCCACGCCGTTAATCACCATGCATGCATCAGATCCATCCATCTCTACATCTCATCAACGGCCGGTGAAGATTAGCTCCGTCGCTTGATTGAGTAATAGCCAGTAATCCCAGGTACTTATCGATCAATCCACAACCCTTTGAATTGACTCATCGACAGCGTGTGTCAACGTTGGACGTCGTACTCACCAGTCAAGCCCCCAACGAACAAGATTATCGCGACAGTGCCACACATATCTGTGCATCGCCCGAAATAGACATTTTCTCTCGCATGCCCGCGAGCGGCTTCCTGAAACGCTTGACGTGAATGGTACCATCACCCTGCGCGGTGATCGGGAGATTTCCCAGAATCAAGAGCAAGATGCGGTGCGAGGCTTGCGATGTCAGTCCAGCATCTGGCGCTTCATTGGCCCGTTGACGTGAGACCTTCAAAGGGCTTACCAGCGTGACCTCAGCGTCTTCACAAGTCTAGCCAATCGCTACAACGGAAATACATCGAGTGGTCGATCCGGCTACTATCGTGCTTATGATTGAGGAGAAGGGAGTTCAGGAACACCTTGGGGCCCAAGAACGCAAACAAAGAGAGGCCAACGGTAGGAGTACTGTACTTTTACGACCGTTCGCTCGTCCCATGTCCCGAGGGCCGAGCGAGCGAACCATTTAGGCGGGACTGTCCAACCTCTTTGAGGACTCACGAGCCAAAAAGCGGGACAAGTGGTAAAAATAGCGTAAAAATGCGGGTAAATTCGAAAAAAAATCTCTAGAGCAATTACAAGTGATCTAATGACCCAGAAAGTCGTCGAACTTCTTGTTAGATACCTTACGACGCTTCCCCCTTCGGTTCCCTGGCCCCTGGATGAGAGGAGGAGGAGGCATGGAAAGGGGGGGGGGAGGGACGCACTGCCAGTCATTCTACAGCAAAATAATGTGTCTCTTTATACGTCAACACGCCATGACTTGACTGAGAGCATCCCATACGGTTTGAGCGCGATTTTCGTGGAGGTGACAGATGAACGTGGTGCTAGAGTTTCAGAAATCCAGGGATGAAAACAAAAGCTTTCGGTNAAAGCTCACCTTAGCTGCTGCAGGGCCGAGCATCGACAGATGTGCGTCGTGAGGTGGAAGTG